ATCACTGGACTATGGGCTAGTAGGGCTTTGATCGAATCCAAAGATCTAAGTGTGAGCCAGAGATGGAAGAACTGGATTCAGCATCTGCGCTTCCGGTTAGTGCTCACACTTAGCGATGCGGTGTTCCTCTGGAGTAAGCTGAAGCAATTGGTTGGTGTGGGCGGAGGCATGGAGGATGATATCGAAGCGCACATGCGTGTTATGGCCAAGGACTTTGGTGTTGATCTTCAACATGGCGTCTTTGAGGGCTAGTGGCTGTATAATATATTTAATTCCCCTCATATAAGCAGCAATGCCTCTGATGAATTATGACGGTATAGGATTGGTTCTGGTATTGTATGTGCATGGAGATCCCGTTAAAGAGTTGTTCCGTGTCACTATCTGCCTATACACCATAAACATCTACTCTCAGACTTAGCGAAGCCCGCGAAGCCTACCGGAAATCATCATCTACTACGGTCTCATAACAAGCCCCGAAAAAGCCTAATCCGCGCGTTCCTGAACAAAGTTCACGCAAAGAATGCCCCGCACTAGCATCCCGCTCGACATTTCCGAACCTCCCCACATCCATGGATCTTTCCGGCATCGCGTCAGGCAGGCCCGGTAGAACATATATCCACCATAGACTCAGATCCTAGCCCTTCAAATACATAGAACACTGCTTGTAGCAGGAGTAAAGATTACACCATCAACTCAGATCTACTGCAAACAATGGCACCAAACTGGGACAGACTTATCCGCTTCATCGCTACAGATGGGCGTGAGCTGCGGGGTCAACCTATCCTGCCCTCGCCAGAATTCGATGTCGGTACGACGACAGAAGAGACGGGACTAAAGGCCAAGGTAATCGATGTCAAGAACAATGACATCTTCGACCCGGCCACCAAGGTTACCGATGAGGAGGTCACCGTCAAGAAGCTACTAGGTAAGTTGTGACTATACGAAGTGCATATGAGACATATACTGACTTCGCACCTCTACCTCTGCAGGCCCCGTGACCACAGACGAAGTACCCATCATCCGGTGCATAGGTCTAAACTTCATCAAGCACAGTAAGTTCCTCTGTCATCTCGTCCTACTCAAAGAAAGACACCCCATTAACCTCCCCACGCTCAGTCCAAGAAGGCGGCCGCACCCTCCCTCCTTACCCTTCAACCTTCATCAAAGCCAACACCTGCCTAAACGACCACAACGCGCCCATTGTCATCCCCAAACTCGCCCAAGACAACCAAGCCGACTACGAAGGCGAACTCTGCTTCATAATCTCACAAGACGCCAAAAACGTCTCCGAAGCCGATGCCTTCAACTACATCGGCGGCTACACCTCCGGCAACGACGTGTCCTCCCGAAAACTGCAACGCGACCCCCTCCTCGCCGGCACAGTCCCCCAATGGAACTTCTCCAAAGGCTTCGACACGTACGCGCCGTTAGGCCCTCAACTCGTCTCCCCACGCGTGATTCCTGACCCGTCGAAATTGTATCTCAAGACGGTGGTGAATGGGGATCTGAGACAGAGTTCTGGGATTGATGATTTGTGCTTCAAGATTCCGACGTTGGTGAGTTATTGTAGTCAGGGGACTACGCTGAAGAAGGGTACGGTTTTCATGACGGGCACGTGTGCGGGTGTGGGGTATGCGATGAAGGAGCCGCAGTTTTTGAAGCCGGGGGATGTGGTCGAGGTTACGCTTAGTCCGGAGATTGGGACGCTGAGGAATACGGTGGAGTATGCTTAGGTGGATGGGTGGGTTGAGGGTGTGGGTACGGGGACCTGGATGGAGAGTGTATGTACAATGGTTTTGGGTATCCGTTTGATGCTTCGAATGCATACAGATCTTACACCGTTCCCATAACTAGAATTTGAAGCTCGTGTGTAAGAATTGTTGCGATTCTCCAGCAAAGCCCACTAGACTGGGATATAAAATCATGAGTCGACGACGGTGAAAGTAATGGGTCTATTGGTTGTACACAATTTAGCTGATCATGTCGCGTGCATATTGTTCATTATATATTCCGAGTAAACAACACGCACCACTAAGCCCATATATATGATAGCATGATAGGATACAGGCGACTTTTGAGAACAAGAAACCATCTTCCCCGTCTAAACCTTCCCATCAAATCTTCGACCTCGCCTTACTCTTCTCCTCCATCTCCCTCCTCTTAATCTCAAACCTCTCCATAGGCGCCCCCTCAACAAACCGCTCCGCCAACGCATCCACAGCATTAACCACAGCCACCAACCTCGCATCCCTAATCGGCGCATTCTGCAACCTCTTCATCTCAATCATGCTCTTGCCATCATTCACTTTAAGCTGTTCCTCCAAGAACGCCTCAACCTTGCCATGGAATTCGTCGCCAGTAGCATCCCACACGTAGTTGTACAGGCCGGCATCGAGCAGCTCTTGCGCGGAGAGCTTGCGGCCGAACATGAGGAAGTCGTTTGCGCGGTGGATGCCGATGGATTGCGCGAAGGAGATGGCGGAGCCGTTTTCAGGGACGAGACCGAGGGCGGAGAAGGGGCATTGTAGCCATGCGCTTGAGGAGGCGAGGACGATGTCGGCGATGCCTGGGAACCAGGCTGCGCCGCCGCCGACGGCGGGGCCGTTGAGTGCGAGGATGAGGACTTTGCGGTGGCTGTGTGATGTCAGTTTCACTGTGGGAGAATACATACGTGTATATGGACTTACTCGATCATCGAACGTAGAAGCTCCGTTGCTGTGCCATGTCGCAGTTAGTACTATAATCCGGAAATGCCATCATATTTCAACACGAAAGCAAAGTTGCAGCGTAGGCAAGATCAAGAGGTGGACATACCATAGCTAAACCTTGACATGTAACTCAGCTTCTTCTCAGCATCGTTCTTGAAGGCTTCGCTGCCTCCTCCAGCGATCCCCTTGACGTCCGCGCCAGCCGAGAAGAAGCGTCCCTCGCCTGTGAGCACGGTGAAGATGGTGTCTGGGTGCTCATTGAGAACGCGTAATCCGGCGATGATGTCGGGAATGAGGTTTCCGCCAAAAGAGTTCAGGGCCTTGGGCCGGTTGAACTGAAGGATTTGTTAGCGGACGCATACTGTGATGTTTACCCATGGGTGAATTGGCAAGATCGTCCGGACGGATTCGGGAGTGTGCCGCACGGATGGAAGATGGAGTCTTTGAATATTACCTTAATGATACCGATCTTGCCCTTGATCTCGAACTTGATATCCGAGTAATCCGATGGAGAAGTCATGATGTTTATTTTCCTGGCTCTTTCGCGCTGTCCTTTGAGGCGGTAGAGCAGATCTCTGATTACAATGTCGCGAAGATTCTCCTGTCACCACTCTGTTTTAGGTAGGTGGACGGTGAGATGGGTGTGGAAACTTCAGACTTTCGAGACGGAGTGTACTAAGTGGATGATGAATAGTAAGCTTTCCCCGCAAGACGCGACAGGCCTCGGTTCGGGCGACAGAACGAAGACTCGTGTTGTATATTGACGAGTCAGACCATATAAACGCGATCTAAAGAACACAGCAATTGAATGTTATGCTTTGATGCTGATTGCGTGATGAGAGATGATGCAGCGAGGTGGTGTAGTCGCGTACCTGTGCATGGATTGCTGACAATATTGTGAAGATGTCGCGTTTTACCTCGGCAGGGCTACGAGGCACGTCATCACGGGCTACTACATCCACAACATCGTGTGCACAGCACATAAGCCTTGACGGACTGAAGTGCAGAGGCGGCCTGATTGCTTGTTCTTTTTCAGGGAGGCGCCATACGAAATCCAAGATGGTACATCGTACTGGCCGCATGACACGCACGCGTACACTACGTAAAGCAGTCAAAGTCACTCTCTGAAGCCACATTTCGCAAAACGTGCATTACTTGAAAAGACAATAATCACATATTCGTTCATTCACTGAATATGAAAGAAGTAAGTTGCATCATATCCTCGTTAGAGCTCGAAGTCTAGCTTGAGTCTCTACCCGTAGTCCTTTACTGGCCTATTAAGCAAGCCAAGTTACAAGCAGTATACCAGTCACGGGCATCACTCAAGACATTCAATCAGCGGTACGAGAAAAGCATGTAATTCCAAAGCAAACAAAACTAAAAGCACCATCACTCGCACCACACGTCCCCTTTCCCCATCTCCAAGCGCAATGGTCGTGGCGAGCTAGATGTTCCTTTCTCGTCCCTGGAAGCAGCCTCTTTAATGGAGATCCGTCAATCACGCGGACTACTAGCCGCCAACCCCATTGCAACCCTTCGAGTCTACCAGCCAAGCTTCAGTCACATACACTCTTCACCAGATACAATTTGAAATCGTCCCCTTGTTAAGCTTTACCTCCCCACAAGCTGGCAGACATATCCGAAGGGGGGAAACTCAAGGAAAGTACTAAAAACCACATGGAAGGACGAGGGGGCAGGGGATAATTAATGCGAGGTGAAAGCCGTAAAGTCAAACAAAGATCAGTCATCAGCTGGAGAGCTGGCCAGTAACACTAGCTGTGCAAGGCGACCAAGATAATCGGTTGGCTGTAATCCGGGAGGAGTTGAGATGTGTTTACAAGCCGAACTGTGATGCCAAATGGAGATACCGTGTGGGTCGAGCTTCCAGAGATGTGAGATAGTTGTCAGAGACGCATGGCCATGATAAACGCAAGACAGTGGAATGTCTTCCTAGGTCCGTACGAGGTGTCTGACGAATGGATCCCATGAACTGATCAAGGAGCGACGCCGTCCAAAATGTTGCCAGGACGGCAATGCCGCATTTCCCATTCGTTGTGTGTGCGGAGCCGCGTCAGAAGAAGCGGTCACGCAAGAGTTGAGATGACGAATCGAAAGCCGCATCAAATCAGTAACCAGATGCATACTGGTCCCCGCCACGCTTGTTGGCCGAACGAAGCTGCCTGAAAGAAGGAAGAAGGTTAGTAAAATCTGGATCTGGCGCCCCCCGCGCTAAGCGTTCTCAACACCAAACGCAAAGGAGAGGGTCCCTTACGAGGATCAGATATATCGAACTCACATTCCGGTGCCCTCCTGGCGCGCGTTGACCGGACCGCGCTTGGTGCCAGCTGCCGTGCCAGCGTTGGCAGCGGCGGTGGTGGTGACGTGGCGTCCGCGGCCCTTGTCGTCTTCCTCGCCCTGGCCCTGGTTGGCAGCCTGGGCGATGGCTTGGGCGTTCTTCTGGTACTTGTAGACGGTCCAGTCGAACACGTAGTCGTACTGGAAGCCTTCACGGACGAAGAGGTCGCGGAAAATCTTGCGGAGGTACGAGTAGTCGGGCTTGTCATCGAAGCGGAGGGAACGGGTGTAGTTGAGGTAGATGGCGAACTCGTTGGGGAAGCCACGGCAGAGGACCTCGGTGGGAGTCGTCATCTTCTTCTCCATGATGCGGTCGTATTTCTGCTTCTTGGTGGCCGCCTTAAGACCCTGCCAGGGAAGGGATCCACGGCAGAAGTAAAGCATGACATAGCCCAGAGACTCCATGTCGTCACGGCGGGATTGTTCTGGTCATGTTAGTTTAGCAAGCTGGATGATGTGCGGGATACGTACCGACACCCAAGTGAGTGTTGATGGAGGCGTAGCGGGCGGTACCAGTCAAGTTCTTGTTCTCTCTGTACGGAATGTGGAAGTGCGTCTTGGGATCGCGGTACTTCTTGGCCAGACCAAAGTCGATGACATTGACCTGGTTGCCGCGCTTGCCAATGCCCATAAGGAAGTTGTCGGGCTTGATGTCGCGGTGGATGAAGGACTTGGCGTGGATGTACTCAATGCGGGAGATGAGCTGATCGGCGAGGAGCAGAACAGTCTTCAGGGAGAACTTGCGGTTGCAGAAGTTGAAGAGATCCTCGAGGGAAGGGCCGAGCAGGTCCAGGACCATGGCGTTGTAGTCGCACTCGGTTCCGAACCAGCGGACAAAGGGGATGCCGACACCGCCAGCGAGCGACTTGTAGACGCGGGCCTCATATTCGAGCTGGGGGTGCTTCGCCTTGACGCTCTCGAGCTTGATGGCGATCTCCTCACCAGAGATGATGTTGGTACCTGTAGACGTCAGCGGTGCTGGGGGTGGTGGGCGATGGGCGGCGGCTACGTACCGAGGTAGATGTCACCGAAACTGCCGCTACCAATCTTGCGGCCGATTCTGTACTTGTTGCCGACGCGGAGGTCCTGCTACTGTCAGCCTGGGGTCCTGCGGAGCGGTGCTTGGCCGCCGTGGTGACGGCAAGCGGGGTCGGGGCGTACCATTGTCGTCATGCTTGCAGAGGTGCAACCTTGAGGAGGTTGGCCTGTGGTGGAGGGAGGTGTTGAGGGGGGTGGGTCGAGTGTTGTGACGATGGGGGCGCGGTGGTGTTTTGAGGATCAGCCTGCTGCGGTGGACCGGTCAGTATGAGGCTTTAGCCAACAAGGCGGTGAGTAAGCGGAGCGGGCAGCCGAGAAACGCTAAGGGAGGCAGTCGAGCGTGTTGACCGACAGGTAAAGGAAAGGCCTGCGAGCAGGTGCGTCGTGGTGAGAGATAAATAGGGCACGGGGGGCAGAGGGCGGAGCCGACTGACGAGCTGGGCAGGACTTACTGTAGGGCGTGAATGAGCCCAACGATCAACGATGCCGGCGAGCGTAGGTGCGGACTGGCGGGCGGGCGAGGTTTGCGACTCTAGCAAAAACGACACAGAGAGGCAGCTGCAGGGCACGGGACAGCACAAGAGGCTGGTGGAACAAGCACACTGTGATCGTGGTGCTGTATCAAAGGAACGCTGATGGCAGGACGCAGAGAGCCGGTCCTGCCTTGTATTCGGCCACTGTGCTTGGCGCGCTAGCGAGCTCTTTCACCGTGGACTGCTGCCCGCTGCCCGCCGCCGTGTATCAAGCATGCGGACCGCAAATCACATCCCTGAGCCGCTCGGAGGCATCGCGACCCATCGCACCGCCGTTTGCGTCGTGCGTGTCCGCACATGTCCAGGGTGTCTCTGTCAAGAGATGCCACTGCCCGTTTCAAATGCCGTCGCCTGACTGCCGCATCATGCGACTGAGCCACAGATCTGCCCCTTTATGCATCTCGCGCAGTTCGCGAACCGATTGCGCTATATTTGACTTTGACCAAGAACGTCCTGCAGACGCCGTCCCGCTGCTAGAATGAAATTTCGTCGTAGCCGATGTTCTGGAAAGACTGCGGCCCGAAACTGTCTCGTGACGAAGGTCGGGTATGGCAAACATATCATTATTCAGACTAGGCAAACACCACTTGCGTATAACAGTTTCATCGTTCAAAGCCAGAAACTACCCCATGAAGAGTGTCCCGTATATCCGTACAAGCCCTTTCAACAACACAATAGCGCTCGGCGAGATGCTTTTTCATTCGGAACAAAGGAAAGCATCAGTCCCAACACCATCTCCCGACTCTCTCGCTGTGACATCACATCTGCAGAACTCTTCGGACTATATAGTTATGCTTGCTAACCGAACCCGCTATACTTACTGTATGAAGCACCGCGTAGCATGTGCCCATGGTCTGATACAGCATCACATCCCGCCTCTCATAGCGAGGACAGTTATACAATCTCCTTTGTAGAGCTGCTCAGCTATGTCAGAAACATTCGATACCGGAAACATCCGAATACCATCTTGACAGCGTACACCATCAACATGTAGTGACAAACAGGTTCGAAGGGAATTTGGAACAGTCTGTAGGTCAAACATAGTCTAGCAGCAGGTGATCTGCCCGCGGAAACCGCCTGGTAGATGGGATTAAACCCCACCATGTCTCTGATCCTCTTGGGTTGAGCCAAAGTACGTTCCCTGGCGATGTGGTAGCGATCTCTGCGTGGATGGTTGCCTGCAATTTAGTTGACACGCACTCGCATGACCAGAGCCGCAGAACAAGAGAGATGATATGTTCGTGATGGGTTGATTTTGCCAAGTCTATACAGCCATCTCAGTCGGAGACCTTGAATGATCCTCCTCCTCCGCGGCTATTATACACTGCCTCTGATTGCACTCGTATGCTCAAAGACCGCTCCCCGTATCGCGAAGTATCCGGCTTAGTGGTTCGGCGCCTGGTTCTTGAGGGCTGGGTTGCGCGGGTCGTTCTTGTACTCATCGGCTGTGCTGGTCAGCCTGCGAACATGGATCGAGCTGGATGGCTTCGTCTCTGGGATGGGGATTACGTACACTGGGCCATGGCGTTGGCGGCAGAGTTGACACCGTAGAGGATGACGAGGCCTATTGACTCTTGTTAATCCTGTCTCACACCGCGAGCTCTCGGCTCCTGAGCAATTCCATCTCCTTCCGATCCATCAATTGGGCCTCTCTGAGTATTTCCTGCCCTAATCAAAGTCGCGCGACGTACCGGAGACGTAGAAGGGCCACATGGGCTTGGCTATAGTACCTCGTTAGCAATCTTTTCAAGCTCGATGTTCCACTATCGTCGTGTGCAGGGGGCCATACCGATTTGCGCCGGGAACTTCCTTCCGAGAAGAGGCATTGTGACGTGTGTTGGAGGGGCAATTGACTGATTTGACGGTTGCGGCGAGGGATGCGGTGATGGGTTGAGCTCCGCTCGAAGAACAGCCCTGGAGATGCTTGGCGTCTGCGCACGGATCCCTCACGTCTTTGTACTAAGAGGGAGCGACATCCCACTTCGCTCGCGTCCAGCTTACACTTGCGATTGCCGAACCGTTTACGATCATGGCACTGGAAGGATGCGTAGGCTCTCTACGCAGTAGTATGCAATTACTCGATTCATCTATCAACATACTGGACCAAGGCGTGAGCGACTTCCCCCGTCTGGCCAAAGTACTACAGACGACACGGGTGTGTACACGTTGAGAACATGATCATCTTCATCGTGTTGACTCTGGAACAGCATTTCGAGCTCATCTCCGAATCTGACCTCCAAACCGCGCAATCCGCACTCCTTTCAGAAATCCGCCCCGAGGTCGATAACCTTCTCAAGCGCGTAGAGAACTACCTTGACAAGCTGGAGCGTCGCGAGCAATCCTTGATAGCGAAATGCGACCTGAATGACGGCAGACTCGGACGCGACAACAATGGCAGCTCAGGTCCCAGACCGGCAAGCAGGACCGCACAGCGAAGCGGAGGCAAGACCATCAGCGCGCAACAAGAGATGAGGATGAAGACCTTGAAAGCGAAGAAGGATAGGCTTAGCTATGCCGTGGAGACGCTAGAGTTGCAGGCGAAGCAGAGGGAGCGGCAGTTGCGGATGAGCATGGCCGCACCGCAGCAGTTATACGAGGATTGATGTTCTGCTACATTTGAGTAGAGAAAGTATCAGTTAGCCCGTTAGTGATGGAACGGGCCGCATGAGTTCACAATCTTGGAATAGGCGTTTTGGCAATAAGATACCCCGGAGTAGTTCAATACAGACACCATATTATACCCACGAAATCTCAAGGAGTGCAACAAGACGTGAATCTTCATTCAACCTCGGACGCCTCGTGCATGAAGAATGCCCCCACAGCAGTCGTAATCAGCACTTTGGGTTGACGCGAATGACATGTGCTTTGTTCCACGGTAACAAGTTACAAACGATAGTACAGAGCCTTGAACGTGTAGTAAAGCGAAGAAAGTAAGCGTTTTCGGGTAGTGTTGTGATACCCAGTTCAGATGGTCAAGATGTTGGTGATGCGCTAGCGTCGGCTAACCCCGTGACCTGAGGGAGCGCAGAACTCGCAGAACACCGACATTGAACATTCTCCGACCACATCTTCCCCACCACCCCGTCCATCATGAGCTCTCTCCGCATCGCCCGAGCTGCCCTCCGCGTGAGGCCCGCTGCCATTGCCCGCCCCATCCAGCGCAGAGGGTACGCCGAAGTCGCCAATGACAAGATCAAGCTCTCCCTAGCTCTCCCGCATCAGGTACGCCATACCAGCTGTCGCAACATGCGGGGGCATACCCCAGGTTGCAATTGGCATCTGAATTGAGAGGCTAACTGGTGGTCAACAGTCTATCTACAAGTCCCAGGATGTGTACGTCGCTCGAGACCCCGGCCGATCCCGCAAAGCGAAATCGCGAATACTGACATGAGATGTTTTACAGCGTCCAGGTCAACCTCCCCGCGGAGACCGGTGACATGGGTGTTCTGGCCAACCACGTTGCCTCCATCGAGCAGCTGAAGCCCGGCCTAGTCGAGATCATCGAGGAGCAGGGTGGCAGCAAGCAATTCTTCCTGTCTGGTGGATTTGCTGTTGTGCAGCCCAACTCCGTCCTCAGCATCAACGCCGTCGAGGGCTACCCATTGGAGGACTTCAGCGCCGAGGTACGAGCGGATGCACGGAGATGGGGAATAAAGACTGACAAGGAGATAGGCTGTCAGGAACCAGATCGGCGAGGCACAGAAGATTGCCAGCGGAAACGGCAGTGAGGCTGACATTGCTGAGGCCAAGATCGAGCTTGAGGTACGCACCGCCAACCCATCTTAGCAAGAAGCGCTGACAAGACCCAGGTCCTCGAGAGCCTGCAGGCTGCATTGAAGTAAATGTGTAAATAGCGTTCCTTGAGTACGGCATGCGCGGTATGTATAGTAGCAAGCACAGAGCATGCGTGCTTTCCGTGGTCAAAGAATAGAAGGAGCTCCCTGGGGTGACCAAAACATTCCAAACATCCTGCAGTCTCGCTCCTCTTGACCACATTCCTCTGCAATCTGGACCAACCGTACCTGAGCCCACCAGCAACCCTACGAGCTACACTACTTTTATTGTTACCCTTCTATCAGTTTGTCTTACTTCTTTAGCACCCAGTCTTACTCTGTCTTACTTCGTTACAGCTTGTCTTACTTCACCACAGCGATCGCCGTTTTCCTTACACAAAATCAATAGTTTCCACGCATCTACAACATCACCCTTCTCACGTCTGCAACGCATTATCCAGAAGTTTAGCGTCTCATGCCCCGAGGCTTCGACCAACCCACGTCAAGTTCTGCGTCCCGAGCTACCAATGCGGGACTACGCGAGCAGAGCAATCAACCATCAAACATAAGGACTAGACAGGGTCGGTTCGAAGCTCCTGCTACGATACCGGGAGCTGGAGAGGCGAAGCAACCATACCCGACCACATCCAGACGCAAGTCTAGTAGTCCCTCAGCTTTGCCCCTCCCACAAGCATCGAGCGAACCTCAACCGCCTCCTTCCGGACGCAAATCGCCTGCCTATTTGCAAGGCAGGAACCCATATGGCCGAGTCTTGGACAAGGTCCAGCATCCGTACCGGGAGCCCGAGGCAGTGACAACAGCACCTATACCGCCTTCCCAAGCTGGCTCCAATATCGGTTCACGGTCACCTGCGGTGGGGGTCACAGACTCCAAACAACAATCTCTGGCCCAAGAGCCGGGTCGACGCGGCACCCAGACAACATACCCGCCATCAAGACAGCCACAGGTCCCCAAGTCAGTTCGCTCTGCCAAGGACTTCTTCGAGACGGAAGCCTTTCAACGTCCGTCAGCGTCCCGTCCCCCACCTTCAGTTCCTGGTACCAGTGCCGCGAAGGCGCTCGCACCCCAAACCTACCCTTCTAGTTCCTCTCTCGAATCTCCTGCCCATGCTCCCAATCCGAAGTTGTCTTCTACTGCTGACGAGCAAGCCCTCGATACTGGGCTGCTGTTGTCTTCTCTCACGGAATTTTACGATACTCGTGAATCTGTGCAGTCTGTGATCTCCTACAAACAAGGCGAAGCCGACGAGTGTGCTCCCATCATCACGACACAGAAAGCAACGCCCCCGGCCGTACCATCTGATCAGGGAGAGGAGCAGTACTTTTCCGACATAGAGCGAGAATCCATTGGTCGGCGGAAGTCTACCAACATCTTTGCAGGTAAATCCGACGGTGCAAGGCTTCCAAGTCTCGGTCAACAGGCTGGACAGGACAGCTTTGCGAGCGATAACATCTCCAAGGCGTCGCTTCCTGACACTGGCGGGGCCAACCCAATCGGTCACAAAGATCCTTCTGACGAGATTGTGAGGCGTCTCGCTACCCGCAGTTCAATACCAGCTGCTGAGACCAGGCAAGCCAGCAATCCGAACCCTCCGTCGCAACAGGAAGGTAGACGTGCGAAGTCTGGTCGCGATCTTCGAAGGACTTTCGAGGAAGACAACGGGATCTCTCCCAAACGGCTCAGGCGCAGCGGGTCACACACTGCTTCTTTGACAGAAAGTGGTACTTTAGCAAAAGAACCCGTCGATCGTGTCGCGGAGTGGACCCAGAGTACGAATGTTGGAACTCCTCGCAACCAGTCTGGGAAGTCCATTGGTGTGCGTAGACGAGCTGAGGAGATCGTGGCAAGGAATCTCGGCCACGACGGTGCAAGCGACATGAGTGTCTCCCGACAAAGCTGTATCCCAGGCTCGATACCAACTGCCAACATCGGTGTCGAGGAGCAGTATGGCGAGACCAAAGTGCCGGATGATGTCGACAACCGCCAAGGGTACGGACGTCGCGTCACACAAGATTTTGGCTTCCCAGGCGCACGGATCAAGTCGTATGGCATCAACAAGACAAGCCGACCTTTACGAGACCCTGGCAATTGGACCAAGCGAGCGTGCGGACACTTCTCATACATGGGCAAAACCGAGCACCGCGAGCATGCACAAGAGAGAATATGTCGGCAATGTTCGACCCGAGTACCATTGCTTGAAGAGCTACTGTCTACGAAGCGGCGGACACGCAGACGAGCTTCATCAGATTCATTGACCTCTACAACCCCTTCATCGAAAATCTCCACAGATGACTGTTGCCGCCGGCAGAAGCGTCGTCGGTGTCACTCTGAAAGCATGTCGCTTGACAGATGCGGAGATAGATTTGCTGATGAGTTGGGTCATATCATCGACAATATTCTAGAAGAGCATGCAAACACACTCCAGAATGTCATCAGCAACATCAAGAACACTCAACCCAGTCTCGACCAGCTTCGAAGGGTGTCTGGAGACCTTGTTCAGCGATGCAATACCAACGCATGTGATAGGAATCGTTGCCAGACATCCTGTCATCCAGCACGAGCATCCTGTCGACGGGACGATGATTGGCATCCACCTTGCCCATATCTCCCACCCAAAGCGGCAGAGAAACTCAATGTTGGGGCTACAGGCCAAGTCAAGCCGAACCTTAACGATCCTGAATCGAGCCTGCGTGAAGAGGTGCAGTCAATACCCGACCTGGTCGATCTTGTCAAATCTGCAGCCGACGATCTCGGCTTCGATCTTGACCGAAGGCCCACCGCGACCGACGATGACGAGTTCCACAACGCCCCTTACGAGGCCACACCCATGGATTCTGTCTCACGTCATACAGATGTCTCCTTCGGGACGACAGAAAACAGGGCGACGGAGGACGAGCCGCTAACTGAGGACAGCTGGCTACAGCAAACACGTAGACACTTGACCGAACTCTCAGAGGCCCGAGAGCAGCTTATGGACGAATTGGATTCCATCGCTGGAGATCTCGACGTGAAATATCGAGACCAACCCGAGGTTGAGTCGGTGACTGATTCGGATGCACCACATGCACACCGCGTACTCAGCAAAGCTCCCACGGGTCTCTCGCGTACATCCACATTACAGAGAGACGCTCTTATCGACTCAGTACAGCGTATGCTCAGCAAAGCGCCTACTGGCATCTCACGCAGCTCTACATGGCATGAGCAGAATCCGGGAGAAGAGGCTGCGGACGACCTCGATTTCAGTAAAGCGCCTACTGGCATCTCACGCAGCTCTACGTGGCATGAGCAGAGCCAGGGAGAGGCTGCTGACGACCTCGATTTCAACCCGGCACAGCGCAGATCAAGCAAAGCTCCTACCGGTCTCTCACGCACGTCTACTTCGCAGAAAGATGCTATGATCGACTCGGTACAACGTGTGCAACGTGTGCTCAGTAAGATCCCCACCGGCCTCTCACGCAGCGCTACACGGCATGGAGAAGATGACGGAGATGGGGAAGAGAAAGAAGCAGTCGATAATCGCAGTCTCGGACTTGTGCAGCGTGTACTGAGCCCAACACCTGCAGGCTTCTCGCGCACGTCTACATCGCAAGCAGATGCCATCGTCGACTCGGCACAGCGCGTGCAACGCGTGCTCAGCAAGATTCCTACTGGCCTCTCACGCAGCTCTACATGGCATGGAGAAGACGAGGAGGCCGTTGAAGACCCCGAGATCGAGCCAGTGCAGCGTGTGTTGAGCATGTCACCTCCTGGTATCTTACAAGCCTCTACGTGGATCAGGGACGCTTCTGTCGACGCAACGCGACGTGTATTCAGCAAGCCTCTTACTGGTCTCCTGCGCAATACTACTTGGCATGGTATAGGGGACGATCCAGCAGACAGTTCCTTCGTCGAGCCCGTACAACGTGTACTCAGCAAGGCTCTTACTGGTCTCTCGCGCAACTCTACATGGCAAAAGGATGATGATGCACCGGTAGACGAAGCCGTTGTTGAAAGTGTAGAGCGTGGACTCAGCAAGGCTCCTACCAGCGTCTCGCGCGAATCCGAATAGCAGGAGGATACGTCTACTGACTTCGATACTACTCAGACTGGTCAGCACGACGACGAAGACGAGCCGTTTGGCGAGCTTGCGCAGCCTACGCTCGAAAAGACCAACAGTGGCCTCTCGCGAGCATCTACGTGGCACGGTAGCAGACCTGTCGACTATGAAGAGCCCGGAGCTGACGTTACGGGTCTGCATGATGATGATCTGGTGGCCAAGATAGTGCAAAGTGTTCTCAGCAAGGTGCCCTCTGGCTTCTCACGCGCATCCACATGGCAGGGCAACAAGACTGTCGACATCGAAGACCTCGGGGCTGACACTTCGGATCACCAGGAGGACGATCTGGTCACCGCAATGGTGCAGCGTGTTCTCAGTAAAGCGTCCACTGGCATCTCGAGCAGGCCAACATGGCCCAGTTCCAACGCCGCCAACACCGTCGAAGACGAAGTTCAAAGCGTAGTCGATAAGAGTGTCGACGAGCTTCGGCTCAGTCGCGCACTCACTCGGATCCTCAGTCAACCGAAAGAGCCTCCATCTGCTGGTCAAGAGCCATACAAGGCTGAAGACGTTTCGGCTGAAGAGATCTAGGAGGTGCTTCGAGTAGCGAGAGACGAGCTTCCGGCTGCTGTTGCTTCGATCACCGCCGTCTTGCAGACATTGCCTGCTGCTGAACATGCGCCCACTGATGAGAGCAGTGACGTTATGGAGCCTGATCAGCATGTTGAGCTGGCGTATGAAGCGCTAGATAACCCGCAGTATGATACAATGGACGATCCTCAAATTGAGACGCAACTTCGGGGTCAAGCGGGCCAAGGGTACGGTGAAGCCACGTCTGATACTTACAGCGACCACTACACTGCATCACCGGTCATTGAAGAAGAACCTGAGTTCCAGCCTCCTGTGCAGCGAATTCGCCGAACAAGTACAGCGCCACCTCTTGCACAACGACAAGAATCGTTCATACCTGGCTCAATAGCTGTCTCGATACCTTCCAGTTATTCTTCCGTAGTGGAAGATTTACCGGAATCGCCCGTTCTATCACGCACAGCTTCGTTCTCCCCTACGCTTGGTACTCGCCGGACAGCTACCATGTCACCATCTCAGTTACGACAAGGTCCTTCAAGCCCACTATCTGTCGCTGATAACGCATCTGAAGAACCAATTCTCATGAGTCTAGCTTCACGCCAGCCAACGCTTGCAAGTCGCCGTACCAGTACAGCTACAGCCAGTAACCAGCGACAAGACTCTGTTAGGCCCACTTCGCCACCTACTGCGGATGGTCTAGAAACACAACCTGTGATTTCGCGTGCGACTTTCCGCCAGCCTACACTGGAGACCCGCCGCACAAGCAGTGCAAAAGCCAACAACAAGCGACAAGACTCTATCAGACCCGCTTCTCCATCTTCTCCGTATGACTTGGAAGCAGAACCACTGATCCCACGTGCGCCTACACGACAAGGTACGCTAGGGATGCGTCGAACAAGTACGGCAACAGGTAGCGTTCAGCGCCACGACTCTATCAGGCCCGCTTCTCCTTCTAGTGCATATGACTTGGAAGCACAGCCACTGATCTCACGTGCGCCGACGCGACAGAGTACGCTAGGGATGCGTCGAACAAGTACTGCGACAGGTAGCGTCCAGCGGCAAAACTCTGCCAGGCCCACGTCACCACCTGCTATGGATGATTTGGAAGAAGAGCCCGTCTTCTCGCGTGCAGCTTCTCGGCAGGGTACGCTAATGGTTCGTCGAACAAGTACGATGTCGCCGACTATTGGACGGCAAGAGTCGACGTTAGCCAGCCCGTTGCCTGTGGCAGAGCCCTCGCTTGAGCAACCGGCTCTCTTGCGTATGGTTTCTCGTCAACCCACGCTACCCGTCCATAGAACAAATACGACATCACCGACTGCCCGGCGACTGGACTCCATTGTACCAACGTCATCACCTGTTGCAGACGAATCGATTAGGCAGCCAGTCCTTCTACGTGCAACATCACGTCAGCCTACGCAAAGAGTTGAACGTACAAGCACAGTGACACCGGCTATTCAGCGGCAGCCTTCGACTATACGCACCCCCTCACCTGCGGCAGAGATCTCATCTAGGATGCCAGTTATCATTCGTGTGGCATCGCGACAGCCTACACAGGGGTCCCGTCGAACAAGCACGATACCATCGGTTGTACAGCGAAACGACTCTCCAGGGCCCGAAATCTCTCCCGTCCTGTCTCTCGCTGCGGATGACGTAAATGATCAGACGTTTCCGCCTCTTGATTCACGCCAGTCTACGGTGGAGGTCCGTCGAAGAAGCTCAGTACCAACAACTGCTCAGCCAAATGACTCTCCAAGCCTCGAAACCTCTCCAGTCCTGTCTCTTGCCATGGACGAATTGCCTGATCAGCTATATGCATACTCTGATACACGTCAGACTGCGCTCGAAGTTCGTCGAACAGGCACTGCTCCGACAGATGAGCTTGTCACATCTCTCGATCTGTCGCCTGCTAAATAGGATACGCTTGCACAGCCCATGGCATCTCGCCGGGTTTCACGTCAGCCAACGCGTAAGGTAACTATCCGTCAGGCCGAGATTTATCGTGCGCCTTCGCCTGAGCCTCCATCGGACACAGAGGATGTCCTTGAGCCGGCGATCTTGTCGCGTTCTATCTCATCCCAGCCTACGCGCATGGCGAGCATTCTTGCTATATCTAAAAGTCTTGTGGATCCGTCGAGAGAAGCAGATGATGCCGCATCCGAGCCTTCGGTAGACGCAGAAGTTACACAGCGCTCTTTCGAGCGGCAAAGAACCATTCGGAGGGAAACGATGCCCAATGAGCGGCTCACCATAGCTGACAGAACCTTGTCTTCCAGTCTTCCGCTTCGTACTCGTACTGGATCTCTGATTTTCCGAAGTGCCGAGCAAGATGTTGAAGCGCCGCTTGATGAACGAACAGAACTTGGGAGGCAGGAGGTTCCCGCATCAATCCACGTCCCTGGCCGCGATGAGGACACTGATCAGGTTGGGAGATCGCCCACGACCGCTTTCGAGGCTGACTCGGAACCTTTCGCGCTCCATATGTATCAGCGAATGGCCGAGGAGGCATCTGAAGAAGAACTTGAGCCCGAGAGCCAAAGCGCTACATCAGTTGGTGTCAACAATCTCGAAGAACCGGCTGGTCAGTTCGTAAGAGCATCCACTGCGAATGTTACATTCGATCCCGAATTACTCGCACTTGACGTCTATCAACGGATTGCCGAAGAACCGCTTGAAGAGGACTTTGAGGCTGAAAGTCAAAGCGCTATCGCGTCGACCAATGTCAACGTCATTGAGGCAACGAGTAGTCGAATCCAGAGAGCACCGACTGCTAATGTATTATCGAATCCGAACTCTTTTGCGCTCCGCGTATATCAACGCATCGCTGACGAGCCACTTGGGGAAGAAGCTGAGCCCAACGCTATTGCGCCGACAAACTCCAACAGCACTGAGGATATGACTAGTCAAATTGAGAGAGCACCGACTACTCAAGTCTCTCGGACAGTAGAGCCCTTGGAACATGTCAAAGCTCGAAGCCCGACTGGCACGATGCCCCCTGTTGAGAGACGTGCCACACAGACTTCACCCGGGTATCCAGCGAACATACCACGGGCTGTAACAATAGCTCGCGACGTAGAGCGCAAACAAAGCAGTGCTGCTCCTGACCAACTCGATAGAGCACTTACCATGCGATCCTCTCCAGCACTGGAGCCTTTGGTATATATCGACCCTGAAGGCCTGCCATCAAAGACTGTTACTCTCGAAAGAGTGAGGACACAGGCTTCACCTGAACTCTCAGTCGATGTACCACGGGCGTCAACAATACCTCTCGAATCGAATCGAAGACGAAGTAGCGCTGCTCAAGGGTTCACGCCATCCGCCCGAGGACCAGAGTCTTCAGTACACTCCAGCGCCGAAGCTGTGCTCGATGAGACCCCGCAAGTACAGGGAAGATTGAGAGTAGCGCCCACAGAGCCTCGCACAACCGATCGTCGACGCAGCAGTGCGGCCCCTGGTATCACAGCGTCTCCTCCACAGACCATCCTTGAGGGCATAGAAGTCGGAGCGCAAACTAAAAGCCAGACGAAGAAGCCGAGGCAAGGCGCGAACTACCCACCTGAGCAGCAATATCCGCCAGCGCCTGCATATCCCCTACGGGAGACTCCCTCATGGACGAAGCCGGACACTCGAACTCCATCACCAAAGGTGAAAGCCCGTCAATCAAGCCAGCCTGCCCTAGACCCATCAGAAGTGCAGCCATTTCTGGAAGCGGCACCTGGGTCGCCAGAAGCCCCAGGGGGAACGCAAAAAAGGCAAAACAGCTATCCGAGCCAAACCAGACAGGCCACCTATCGTCGAGACTCCAGTGCCACTTCTATCCGAAGGGCAGACACTCGACCAAGGCAATCCTCCGTCTACGCTAACAAGGGCGACTACTACCCAGTCAGTCCGATCCTTCCAGACCGCATTGACGACGGTCCGCAGCTCCAGCCTTCAACATCTCGAAGAAACAGTTACTCCATCCCACAGTCAGCCTCAATACCCGAGGATTCGCCTCAGGACGAACCGCGTGCGCAGTACTCCCGTCGCGTCTCGTCAGGGCCACCTCGCCGCCAATCGCAATCTCAAGGAGCTCTCTACTCCCAAAGAGATGCTGCAGTCAGTTCCAGAGCACCCACGTTCCAAACTAAGCTGGAGACTGAGGACGAGACTTCTCGAGCGAATCAAGACCCCTATGAAGAAGACTTTCAGGAACCTGTCCGGAGAGACGTACGCAGGGCGACTGGCATGGGAAGCCCAATCGCAAAAGCGGAAGCAACGCCCAAAGAAGGAGCTCAGTCGCCTGAGACGCGACAAAAATTTTCTCCAGTTCCCCAGAAAGAAGGCCCGTCAGACGAAGGAGAGTCAGATCATTCGCCGAGCCGGTTTCCGGAACTGTCTGGTGCTCAAGTGCCAAGGGAACAAGAGCAAGAACAAGAGCCAACAGCACGAACCGAAGAACAAAGGCGGACTGAAGTGGTTATGGAAGAAGATCCTGCGCCTGCCGACGCCAAGGTTGCACATGATGAAGACATACCCACCCGCCGTCGCATCGATAGCTCAAGCGGGCCCTTCGAAGATGACAATGCCTGGATCAACAGCACGGTCGACCTCTCGCGCTCAAAGACCATCCCAAGATCATCCACCGGAGATGAAGGTGATCGAAGACTTTCAGGTGCAAACTCAGAAGAAGCGCAAATCGCACGAGCAAACACTCGTCGTGCAACCTCAGGACGAGTGCCTGATTCCGCAACAGCCTCACAATCTGCACGAAAAGACTCAACAACCGCCACGCGAAGGCCATCGTCGTCAGTCAAGAGGACGAACACGCGACGGAAGTCATCAGCAGTCGGAGATGACAGAGCAGCGCCAATCCTCACAGAAGTACCAACGGTCTCCAGAGCACCGACCCGATCGGCGACCATCCCCTCAATATCTCGACAAGCCAGTATCCGGCGAGGGTCTGCCGCTCCTAGAAGGGGTACAGCAGTCTCCCCAGGAGCTTTACCAGACATTCAAGCCAGATCAACAAAGGAAGGCAGCTCAAGATCAACCCCGCGGCAAGAGTCCAGAGGTGCGGCCTCGCCTGTCGCGGTACAACCAGGTCGACGGTCATCTACTGCAACTAGAACAGGTACGCCAATCTCCCGAGCGGCGTTACCAGAATTTGGAGCCTCAAGGAGAGGGGGAGACGGACCTATGTCGGCCACATCACAAGGCTCGCGTGGTACAATGTCGCCAGTCCCAGCTTACGACCGGGGAAATTCTCCTGCCGGAATACAACCATCGAAAGGTTCATTGGGTACAACCCAGCGCGCAGACCAGACCTCAGAACAACAAACCCAGTCAAGCCCACGAACAGAACCAAGCGATGCTAAGCCAGCAATGCCGCGCCGAGTGACCTCATACGGAATGTATGAGTCCAGCTCTAGTGATCCGTATGCTTTACCCAAGAAGGCACCACGAAAGGCAGCTGCCCTAGCCCCTTCAAATGCCAACGCAAGTCTGTCCCCAGCGACGCAACAGACTGATCCCAAACCCCCGGCGCTCACTCGTAGAGACTCACTAAAGCCACGGCGCAGTCCCACGTCAAGGATATCAGAACTCTTCGGGCGAGAGAAGGGCGCTAGCCCTGGGAATGGGAGCCAGCAGAAGCAACAGCAACTACCTGCACCGACAAACAAACCACTGGGTGCCACGAAGACCGGCTTAGCGCCTGCATCAGCTGCAGCTGCAAAGGTATCTGAGACGGATGCAGCAGTGAAGTCATCCCAAGCGCAGCAACTACAGCCAGTCAAGGTTCAGGCAAAACCTGCGCAAGGAAGTGGGATTACGAATCCTCTTAGGGCGCGCTGGGGATGGGGATGGGGAAGATGATCGACCCGAAGTGTAGGAATGGGTGGTTAGTGGGATTATGAGGAGACTGTTGATACCCTATAATAGGTTTTGGTGCGTGTGGAGAGACAGCTCGACCACCTAAGTATTGAATTGACTACTCCAACTCCCTAATCAGCTTGTATCACCTCTTAGAAACAAGTCATGTCAAGACAAGTTGCGTCTGAGTCGCGATCAATGGTTCAGCTCCATCCGTACAAGGGATATGTGGTCCTGTTCGCCCGAAGTTGAAAAGCCTGTATATCTGTGTTGGAAAGGGTCTAATTCCAAGGCCCGAGTTCCGTCTTGACCACGTCATTTACATCTTGACATGGCTTTAGTTCCGCGCTAACCCGCACTAAGAAGCACACTAACCGCATTATCCGGAGTATGAAGGTTGCAGAGGAGAAGAAGCATCGTCCATGGAAAGTCTAAGTTGTCGCTGGACTGAGACGTCTGCGTCATACGTGTCAGTCGTCATGGTAAACGCCAGTACATACAGTACAGACCTGGGCTTGATTCAGCAACAGGTCGCACGATCAATCGCTCCATCTCTTCAAGGACTTATCTGCAGCCGACCAAGTTATATCATCCGTCCCTGCATCACCCTCTCTGCCAATCTAAACAATTGCAATCATGTTCAAAACACCACTATACGTATTCATCGCCTTCTTCAGCGCTCTAGCTGCAGCGCAAGAAGTCCCCCCCGGTGTCACGAGCCTCGGTGGCATCAATCCAACAGTCGTCTCCTCAGCTGCTACCATTGTATCTGCGTCTTCGGCATCTGATGCATCGGCTCAAGCGACTAGTACGGGCGCGGCGAATGCTCACGGTACGTGACCCTGGCTTCTGGTCTTTGTCGTGGTTTAGGGATTGCGGGAGGCGATACTATTAGGTAGATCAGAAAGCTGACCTATTGCAGAAGTAAAATATGCTGCTTTGTTCGGTGTAGGAGGTGCGGCGTTGAATGCGTTCATGTAGAATTATGGTTGGACATGATAAGAATCGGGTGTTGGAGGTAGGTGTCGCACAGTCCGCACCAACAACGCCACAGCGTACTCTACAATCTAGGTAGAGCAGAAGACGAATGTCACATTACAAGAATTTCATCGAAAGAAAAGAAAAAGCTTATTTTACCCCATCTCTCCGATTCTCAAATACCCGAGCCCGCAGCCCACAAGAAAAGCAACGTCCCAGCCTCCCACGCGCACCAGCTTCCGCGGACCGACCCCTAGAACGTCATCACTTCCAAGCTCGCATCATTACCCCGATCTACAACCGCGCCACCATCCACGTTCCTCGACACGCCCTTAGCTCCAAAGACACTCCCAAGCCACTGAACAGCCCTGCATCAAAGCATGTACCTTCGTACTCGTACCTCTATGGTTCCTCCCAACCCACTGCCGTGACATCTTGCTGCGATGAGATCGTCGTCCAAGAGCGATTGTACTCTTGGAAGGGTGATTGTGGCTTTTGTTCTTGACGATTTGGGACGAGAGGCTGAGGCCATGCAGATGGGTTGTGCTGTTTGAGTGGTTTGATGGGTGGAACAGGGCGTCATGGACATGGTTTCTGGACTGTATTTGGAGGGGATAGGGATAGGATGGGATGAGATGGGTGATGCAATAGTATGGATTTGGATGGATGTAGAAGATTCGTACAAGTTCGGTTAACTCCTCAACCGCCAATATATCTACCACCATATCGAGACATGACAACTGAGCTCAAAACACTTCCACTAACTGTGAATACCAACGCATTTGCGAATTCCTTCTCAGGTTCAGGAACGCTGCTATCGACATTGAGTTGTGAAAGTTCTCTTGCCATTTCTCTTTCCACTTCCACCTGGATAGCCAACGTGACAAATTTCGCGGCTTCGTCGTTGGGAAGGGAATAAGTCTTCCGAACTTCTTCCACTGTGTTAACAAGGTAGTGCACCTTTCTCTCTACGTAGGCTCTTTTCTCTTTATCGAAAGAACCAAGGTCATTTGAAATCGATACATGGTCCGCAAATAGCCTGAGAAATTTGGCAATTCTGGGGCTGGCAATGTCGACAGTTGAACAAAGAGAGAACTTCGTACACGCTATGACGTAACTGGAACTTATAATTAGTTTCCTTCGTAATGTGTAGACTATTGATCCGTACTTACGGGACAGCTGCGTCGATTATCCTATAGTCCAGAAATTCTCTCAGACTGTGGAATTCGGTGGGGGGCGGGGGGTGATTGATGAAATCCATCAATCTTGCAACTACCTCGGCTCCTCCGTCACCGATGATGCCATCTTGATCATGAAGGCCTTGGATAGTAGCATGCATGGCCTTCTGCAAGATCGAGACTGGTTCATCGTCTCCGTAAGGCATTTGAGCCTTTAGTCGTGATACGAATTCGTTCTGAAATGTTTGGATCTGCCATTCAGCTGTTAAATATGTGGAGCCTCAACAGTTTGGAACGACTCACTGTACTTTCGTCACTCATCTCCCATACATCTGTACCAGAAGTGATTAGAGTAGTAATATTTCTTGTAAGATTCCGCTTACCATCAAAGATGAAGATGTAGACAATAGTCTCAGCGATGAGTTTCAGTCGCTCCTCGCTTGCAGCCGGCCACAGATAAGCACAGAACCGAGTCCAGTTATCATGTAACATCGGCAGCTCTTTAGCGGCTATCTCAGAGTACGATTTGCCTCCATTCTTCAATATACTTGTCGCAGTTTGGTCGGAAGCAAAATGCTGTAGCAGCACTCGTGTTGCTTCTACAGCCATTGGCCAGTGTATGTTCTGTCTTACATGGTGAATCGAAGAATACCATGGAAGTTTTGCATGTACAGGAAAGACAGGAATGCTGTTCATGCTAAGTCTTTCACACTCCTTGATCAAGTATCCAGTTTCAATCTGAACTGCGTTGATGACTGGCTCAACACTGATAGTCTCAGCCTTCAGATCAGGGAAGCAGGACAGGTCGACAAAAGGTGGCATGGACGCTTCATTTGTTGGCATGTAGTCGTGACTGTATCTGACTGGCCAGACAAAACCATTGTGGTCTTTGGAGTTGAACAACCCTAATGGAAGATTAGTTTCATCTAAAGTATACGACACGTAGAACTAACCAAGGTCAATGTCTTGCTTCGCTTCCATCATGACGATCCGTTCAAGAGTAGAGAAGGGAGTAGAGTTCAGGCCGTTGTCTTTGTGCGAATACAGACAATAAATACCTTCATATACGCCTCTTAACCAGGCGCCATTGTTGTAAAGCAGGGGTACTTCTTACGTCCACGTCAGCAGCATAGTCGTGTTCAATCACCTTTGCAATCTTTCCTTAAACGTCCACAGCAAAAACGAAGCTATTCCGTTTCTTTTCATTGCCGCATATAATCATCAAAAGCCTATTGGTTACTGGCGATCCTTAGATAAAGGCGGCGAGCGTCATCAGAATCTCTTGGGCTTCCCACTCCATCCACCACAATGTAGAAATCAGAACCCCCAGCATGCTTTCAGGTAATAATGGAATCTCGGGACTGAATAACCCAAGAGTCCATCGAGCTTCTCTGAAAAGAGATCATCGTTTTGTACATGTTCTTCTAGCGGTGTTGTATTGTTGAGTTGTGGGGGTGTTGAGTTTTGTGGGTATTAATTACAAGGGCACAACCAGTTCCATGAATCACGCGTTATGGCACATCACTCACAGAGGTACGGTAAAAGACGCTATCCTGAGAGCGAACCTGAGGCGGCAATATGAGACCCACGCCTGCATCTGGCCGTGCGTTGAACAGGCATCGTCGGAGGGTTGTCGCGCTGCACTGTTGTGATGTGGAGCCCTTGACAGCTCAGCGCGGTACGGGCGGAGCGTGTGGGCCGAACGACAAATAGCCAACGATAGCCAGCGACGACAGCTATCAACAGGCCACCCCCAACGCTGCATACAGCTCCCATCGCCGACATGCCACCGCCTGCTTTCTCAGCCTACAATCTGCCTTGCGATGCACCTCACGTGCGATGGTGCTTGACGTTGCGTACACCACCTCGCGCCATCTAGTCACCCACCCAGAATAACGCACATGCGAAGGACTCGGCACATGACCAAAAAGAGGGCAATTTGTGGACCTGCATCAACGCATGTGGTCTGTGTACCCGCACCTTCTACGGTTCCTCTCAGCCCACTACCGTGACATGTCGCTGCGATGAGATTATCGTCCAGGATTGATTGTACTCTTGGAGAGGAAGGTGATTGTAGCTTGTATTCCTGACGATTTGGGATAGGAGGCTGAGGCCATGTAGATGGGTTGTGCTGTTTGACTGTACGTGGAGGCGACGGGGAAAGAATGTGATAAGGTGAAGTCATGCAATATTATCGATTTGGATGCATGTAGAAGATTGCGTACATGTACATGTACAAGTGGGTGATGGCATGGTACTTTATCTTCAATTCCAACTCCAATCTCTCGCACTACGTACACCGCCGCATACAAAGGCTGTTGTTTATTCCAAGGCCTGAACTGTCCAACATCGTCTTCTTCTACCCACCAAATAATGCCAATAAGAAAAACCCGTCCGCAATGCGTTCCTTTCATCCGCCTCAAGTCTCCTCTTTTCTCTCTTTCACCATCCTCACCTTCGCTCCGGACCAAGCCCATCTCCGACGCTGAGACAACCGCTTCAGGGTACACACTAAACACCTCAAACCCAGGCACCTGCAGAAGCTACTTCGGCTGCTCAACCAGTCGCTTCGTCAATTGCATCAGAGGCCTTTTCTTCGGCGCTGTCATCGGCTGCGAGTAGCATTTCTGAGAGAGTGGCTGAGAGTCCGAGTCCGAGTGCGACGGAGGGTGCTGCGGCGCCTACGAAAGGTATGTTGGTGTTGGTTGAGAGGATTGACGGTCCGGGAATATATGCTAATATGCCTGAGTAGATGCGCAGTTTGCTGCTGTGATTGGGGGTTTGGCTGTCGCTGCTGGGTGGTTTGTTTGAGAAGTAGAGAGACAAAAGAATTCTGGAGCGAGCATCGCTAGCAACATACACCTGGGCGAAGAGGCTTGATCACTTTGGAATCAACTACACGTCATGTCGCGTTCGTTTCGTACGTACGACATGGTATCATCACATCGACATCAAACATCCATCACTGTGACACGCCACATACTTAAAATCAAGAAAGCAACAAAGTTGCCATTCATAACCCATGGTCTAAACCTTGTGTCTAGGTAACCCATCGTCTATACTGCGCAGCTCAAAACCCGGCACCATTAAGCCAGGTCGATTCCATATCCATCAAATCATAATCGTTAAAATTCAAAAACATTTCGAAACGCTTTTTCGCATGTCTACAACTGTGTCAGAAGACCCTGGCTCTCCAAGAGCAGGACAATCTGGTGGACGGCTGTCCTGACGTTGGTAGTCGACAGGTCGACAGTCAGGTCAGCGTTGGCGGGCACCTCGTACGGGTCGTCGACACCAGTGAAACCCTTGATCTCACCGGCGCGCGCCTTGGCGTATACACCCCGCTTGTCGGTCTTCTCCGCATGCTCGAGCGGGGTAGAAACGTGGATCAGGTAGAAAGATCCGTATCGCTCTACAGTCTGGCGGGCTGCCTTTCTTGAGTCCTCGAAAGGAGCGATGGGCGCAACGATTGCTGCTGCACCAGCCTTGGTGAGCTCGGCGGCTACGAAGGAGATGCGGGCAATGTTCTTGTCACGGTCGGATCGGCTGAAGCCCAGCTCGCTGGAGAGCTCACTGCGGATGGTGTCACCGAGAAGGAGGGAGACGGAGCGACCACCCTGCTGGTTGAGAGTGACGTTGAGAGCGCGTGCGATGGCGTCCTTGCCGGAGTTTTGGTAACCTGTCAGGAAGACAGTGAAACCCTGTTGGCTGCGAGGAGGGTGGGATTCGCGAAGGACGCGAACGACTTCGGGGTACGAGAACCATTCGGGGATCTCCTGGCCGGTTCGGAGGCGCTTGCGGAGCTCTGTTCACATTGTTAGTTTCCAAACCCTAAATGAAGGAAATGCAATTGACGTACCAGTTCCGGAAATGTCAAGGGTCTTGATGCCCTGCTCAACCTCGTTCTTGGGCTTGTACTCGTCCGAGTCGGGAAGGTAGGTCATTTGGAGGAAGGGAACAACCTCGATGCCGAGCTCGTCCCTGTACTTCTCGACGGCGTCCTGGGCGTCGTATGGACCGTAGAAGTCAACACCCTTGGAGTTCTTGCCTGGGCCAGCGTGGTCACGGCCGACAATGAAGTGGGTGGCACCATGGTTCTTGCGGATGATGGCGTGCCAGATGGCCTCGCGGGGACCAGCCATGCGCATAGCCAGAGGCAGAAGAGCAAGGACAGCCATGCCGTTGGGGTAGCGGGGCATCAGCGCCTGGTAGACACGGACACGGGTGAAGTGGTCAATGTCACCGGGCTTGGTCAGGCCGACAACGGGGTGGATGAGGACGTTGGCCTGGCGGGCGCGGGCAGCGCGGACGGTGAGCTCACGGTGAGCGCGGTGCATGGGGTTCCTCGTCTGGAAAGCGACGACCTTGGACCAGCCAAGCTTGTCGAAGTGCAGACGCAGCTCCGCGGGAGTGTATCGGAGGCCGACATAGTCGTAGTGCTCCAGGCGGTCGATGGCCTCGAGCTTGCCGCCGACGTAGTACTCCTTGACCGTCTCGTACAGGTACTTGATGGCGGGGTGTGCTACGTCGTTGTCCTTGTCGAAGACCTCGCGGGCCTCCTTCTCCTTGTCCGGCTGGTAGACATCGTCGACGGTGATGATGGCCAGGTTGCGGTCGTCGCGGAAGTCGCGCAGGGCGATGCGGGCGCCTTGCTTGACGCCGACCTCATCGATGGTCTGTTTCGAGATGTCGAGTGTGATGGGAATGGAGAAGAGGTTGCCGTCGGCGAGACGGTTGTCGGACACTACGCCGTCGTAGTCCTTCTGGTTCATGAAACCTGCATCATGCTGTCAGGGGCCGTGCTGCTGCAAACATCGCAAACACGAGGGGCGTCTTCGCTGCCCCTCGCCTAGCGCTGCGGGATGACGACTTACCCTCCAGAGGTGAAAAACCTCCGTTCAGGATGAGCTCCAAGTCGCAGAGCTGCCTCTCGGACAGGACAATAGCCGGAAGCTTCTCAGCCTCTTCGAACAGTTCCTTGCGTCGGGGCGCATCGCGTGCGATCAGGTCCTTGAGGACGCCGCCTGTTGTCCCCTCCGTCAGCAATCGTGACCAACTCCAGCGACTCTGTTGATCAACTCACCATGGGGTGCGTTCGCCATGTTTAAAGAATATGCGAGGAATATAGAACCCGGTGGTGGATCTGGTCAGGTAGTTCGGCGAAGACTTGCTGTCGTTCCTGACTATACAAGACTGGCTTCGCGAAGGAGGTTTTGGGTCACTCAGACAGAAAGATGCGCGACTAAGGACTACAAGGCGGGACGGGTGGAAAGGGCTTTTTATTCCCCGGGTTCTACGGACACTTCAGGCGCCATGTCCCCGATTGTTGACCATAGGCTTCTCTGGATTTTCTCTGCTTGCAGAGACTAGGGCACAAAGCGGGTTGTTGTATGGGTCGGCAGATCTTGGAAGCGATTGCGCAATTGCACGCGATAGTTAGAGCCTGTCTCACCCGGCTTTTCGTTGGGCGACGCGACCACAGTGACGTGAGCGGAGCGGAGAAGGAGCACCTTGTCCTGCAGTTTGTGTTGCGCTTTAGCGATTTTCAGGAACACCTCACGTATATGACAGGTCTAGCGCAATGCTGGAAATTCGTTTGATTCATGCGGGAGCTTCATTGGCTCCTGCGTCGGTGGTATCTCGGCCCCGTATATACATAATCGGATGCGACTGCCGCAAACCCCATTCTTTCGTGACCCAAACCCCATGCTATGCCATGTCCCATAAATAACCCAAACGCCCATGCTAATGCGGTACAACAAGTAGGAATCAAGACATCCTACATCATCCTAAACGTTCAAAGAGACTTGTTGCAGCTTGTTGGCTAGGTCCTCGTTTTGCTGCTTCATCGCCTGCTCTTGGAGGAACTGAGCATATCGCGACTTGGGGTTGTGGATGCCGCACTCGGACTTGTTCTTGCCCTTCCAGCGTCCTGCTCGCTCGTCTTCTCCAGCGGCTACTGGCTGTGTAGAGTGCCAGTCACCGACACTCTTGTAACCCTGGTTGAGAAGGTCGTTGTATGGGACGTCGTTGGCGTCGACGTATTCCTTGACCTGGGCGAAGTTCCAGTTGGCGAGAGGGTTGATCTTGATGAGGCCGGCCTCGTCGACCTCGATGATGTCCAGATCTCCACGCTTGCCACCTTGGCTACGTCGGCGACCAGTCAAGACAGCCTTGACCTGGAGTTCAGAGTAGGCACGCTCAGCAGGCTCCACCTTGGCAACGTAGTCGTAAAGTTCGTCGTTGGTGTCCCACAGCTTGTCGCCATGCTTGGCAGTAAAGTCGTTGACGTTGTCGCAGCCAGCAGGCTTGTAGACGTGTACCGGTGTTCCGTATCGCCTCCTTACCCGGTCAACAAGGGCATAGGTTTCGTCGAAGTGGTAGAGGGTGTCTAGGAAGATCAGGTCGATGTTGTGCTTCAAAGGTCCATCGAGCTTCGAAAGCATATCCACTGTGACCAGGCCAGTAAGACCAAACGCGGTGGTCTGGAATAGTCCAGGCAGAGATGTGATGCACCATCGGAGGATGTCTACTCCAAGTTAGTTTAGGAAACTTTCAGGAGTAAAGTGCCATCACGTACCTTGAGGCTCAAGCTTCTGGAGCTGGGCGTTGATAAACTTCAAATGAGGCTTCGTGAAGTAGATCTCAGGTAGGCTCTCCTGACTGGATTCGGCTGAAGCATAGCCAGACTCCTCGCGGAGTGTAGGCTGCTTGTAGGCGTCAACCTTTGCGAACAATGGTGACGACATCTTCAAGATGGTGTGGCGGAAGTTTGGGGTATGGCAGGCACGTGCGGAGAAGCCAGAAGGAGTATGTCTTTGTGGGTTGGTGTCTAAATGGAGGCTTCCCAGGAGAAACTACTATTATCAATCGTTTGAGTCTGGAGGTGGGAAGAGGGAGAGCGACCACGGCCTGGAGTATATATTGGGCGCCGCCATCGGGATCGCTTTGTAACCATCTCCGCAAGGTGCGATAGCTGGGGGTGAAGACGTGCGATCACGCAATTCGCGCTAGTACATGGTGGAGCAAAACTCTTCCTCCCAGCCTTATGTAAGGCAGTCTCGCCAATCATTCGGCGGCAGTAGACGTTTTGCTACTTCTGAGGCTCGGACGACGTCTATGCTCATGCACTCCGCGGCTGTGCGTTGGTTGGAAATCGCCCGATGGTTTGAGGTTTTGTCATCAACGTCATCCCGTGGACGATTACCGAACAATGCGAATGGCTGAAGTCATGGTGATCCGGCTCTGGCTGACGGACTAGACGGACGGACGGACTGCCTAATCATGGGCTGAGGGATGCCATGTCGTCTCATCTTGACTTTCTCTTGATGTTTGCCTCTGCTGACAATATGGAGTTGGTGGAGTGCCCCGGCCCATCGGCAAGCGCCGGGCGATCGCGTCCGGGGCCTCGCCCAGAAGACTTGTAACACGCATCAGGATTCTCTGTAAAACCATCGGTTAGTGTGAGTCGTTGTGGAACGTCAGGCATATTTACCTATAGCTGTCCATGCTTGAGGCTGAACAATTTTTCTAGCCTCCTGCACGACTCGGTGCACCTTATACTCGTGGGGCGCGAGATCCGTCGTCCTGATTTCCGCATCTGCAACAAGCATGTTGCTTTTGGTGGGCAATCATGTCGCGCGATTCCCGCCTGGGCGCTTCGTGATAATCTTATGTCGTGTTGTCGGTGCTGTTGTTGTCGTGAATGGTGGCGGATGTCACGGCGGGGTCGAAGGTCATCTGTCGCACTAAATCGCCGCAGCTAACCGGCATGGTCTACAACTCTATATCAATTGGATGGAGTTTATTACCGCAATCAACGAATCACCTCATACAAGGAAAAAACTGAACAGGTCTAGAGCCTACATTAACACCAAGTCATCTATCTTGTAGGGTTTTAAGTTGATGTAGGCTGCAGGCCTGTTCAGTTTTTTTTCTTGGTTGGCGTGGAATCGTTCTTGATTTTTGTGCAAGCACCATGTCCGAATTCAAGGGTCTACTCCCATGGATGCGCGAAGATTGAGAACGTACGCCGAAACCATGCGATTGGTAGCAACGATGTACTGGTGAGCTTCAACACTGTCGCGCAATCTCGGGAAGGGTGCATAACTGCAGCTGCTGAGGTGTAGGTGGAGTACGTGACCGAAGAATCCCATGGAGAGAAGGTGCGAATTGCACAGAGAAGTAGTCGAGAGCTTCGAGGATGACCGAAGAGTTGTGGTACATTGAGCGAAGCAGCTGGGTGGCGGATAGATCAACACTCATAACATCCCAAGCAACGTTAGCAACCGTCTCGTACTCTGAGGCCGCCATGATGAATGCGAGAAGGGTGAGAGGGTATGAGAAGGCAGAAAGAACGAAGCGGGGTTGAGATGTGTCAGACATACCTGAGAACGGCAGTGACGACTTCGTCGTTGCCAAACAGACGTTGTGGAAGGCGCACACCAGTCGAGGCAGTCTCGACCAAGCTCCACATTTGATACGTTCATTGGAGCACAAAACAGTCACTATTTGGTCATCGAGGCAGATTATGGAGAGGGGAAGTCTGTAATCACTCTACTCTTCCATAGCATCCAACGCCGCAATCTTCCCTCTCCACAACTCCTTCGCATTCCCCCAAAACACCTTCTCCTTCTCCTCAAACCGCAATTCTCCCGCCCACGCCAACCCATCAATATTAGCATCCACATCCCAAAACCCGATGCCATACGGATAATCCGTGCCAAACACCATCTGACTAACTGGGATACCCATTCCTTCCGTCAGCCCTTTGACCTGATTTGGCCAAACTGGTCCTGCACTATCGTACCAAAAGCGTGTTTTGTAGGCTTCCCTCGCTGCGGTCGAGATGTTGGGGAAGCCGAGAAGGAAACGCTCGGAGATATCGGGGAAAGCGCCTGCGCCGTGAGAGATGCGGAAGTGGAGGGACGGAAACTTGAGGAATGTGGATGAGGCTGTTAGACTCGAGATGGCGCGCGCGGTTTCAAAGTAGAATTCTCCGAGACCGGAGCGAAGGGGTGCTGTGGCATGTTGTCAGCTCGCTCTACCTCTTGGTCGTTTGGGGGACCAGGTTAGGGAAAAGAGAACTCACATGGTCGAGAATTTATCAATCGGCCATCGTCGAGCTTGATGATGGGCTCCGTTGGATGCACGAAGACCACCTCCGTCCCATCTCTTCCCATCTTTGCGGATCTCTCTTGTAGAAAATCCCACAATGAATCAAAAGTCTCGTCTCCCGGGTACATCCCCTCGTGGTTTGTTAACACACCGACACCCACTGGCTGTTTCCCCACCATTCCAAACATGCGCTTCAGTTCCGTAATCAATTCTTCCACATGGGGTAGCGGCATAATGGCCAACCAACTAAATCTCTCAGGATAGATCCTGCAAAGTTCCGCTGTGAAGGAGTTGAGTAAACGAGCAAGGGCAATTGTCTTCTTCTTTCTCAGCACTTCGTCTCTTTCAGTCAAGAAGGCGTTAGCCTGGGGTGTGGAGACGCAGAGTACAGAGTGAGCAATGTGGTGTTCACTCATGAATTTGAGGTGGGATGATACGTTCCAAGACGGCGTTGCGCGGCCTGCAGCATTCAGTTCGAGGGCTCGAAACCAGTCTGGAATGGGGCTATGAGATTTGTTAGTACATGGGCACACATACGTGCATCTTTGGCACTGTGGTTTGGAGCATTTGAGCTTACTGTGTATGCGTATCAACCCTCTTTGAGGTTGAGAAGTCAAATTCCTTCACATCAATCATGCTACTTGCTAGCGAAGCGATGCTCGCAATAGCTTCTTTGGCAAAAGGCAATACTGTCAGGTCAATCCCATCTACGTATGCTTCGTACTGTATCTGCATCCAGAGTTTGTTTTCGTCATGTTCTGTACCATTAGAGGGCGTTGGGTACGGTTTGCCGTAGGGATACGCCTTCGTCACGTTAGTGTGTCTTGTTCCGTGACTGTATTGGAGACAAGACAGGTATTCTTTCACTTTGAAGCACTCACCATTCTTTCGCTAGACGACATTCTGATATGAGGGAAGATGGTGACGATGCTTGCAGCTGTGGTTAGAGTTGAGATGTAGACTGCTCCACATGTCAGTAAAGATAAGGAAGGGATTCGCATGTTTGACAGCTGTAGCTCACTCACAGTCTCGCAAGCACGAAGCAATATATGGTTCATGTATTCTTGTAGAGTGAACTAATCGTTGTTGTTGTTGCTGTTGGCCCAGTGAGTTAGCTGCAGGTACTTAGCATGCGCATGTGCGGGGAGCCGCCACTTGCGGAAGTCGCACCTGCCTTGTCACTTCCTACCTGTAAGCTGCACGTTTTCCAACTGCACTCATTACTAGAGACATTAGCTTACCAGCTTCAATGACATTTCGGACTTGTTCACGCACAAGACAGACGTCACCAAGTGGACGCGCATACATCCGGAACCTTACACACGTACATCTAAGAAAAGCACTTCCGTTCCACAACCTACGTCTAGCTACCGCGCATCTATCAATCATGCAACCTCGGCAGTAGTAACAGCACTCTGATACTTCAAGTCCAATTGCGGCGCCTCCACACCCTTCCCAGGAATTTCACCAAGTCCCGCGGGCTCCACATAGTCTTCTTCCTTGTACCCATTAACCTTCAGCCTCAACTTCCTACTCTCAGCGTAAACTACCCTGCGCATTCGGTTGGTGCTTCCAAGCGGTTGATGCTCCTTCAATCCATGCCAGCTGTTCACCGTGATGCGATCATCCCACCACGTCCTGAACTCAGGTAGCCATGAGTCCTGCGGCGGGAACTCAATGGTAGCGATCTGTTCAAACGGATATTTCTTGGGATCCCATTCGATGCCAATGTCGTCGACGGGCTGTTCGGTGAGGTCCTGCAAGAGTTGCGCGCAGAAGCTGTAGGTTATGGTGTTGTTGAGGTGGTGTGTGCGGAGGGTCTGCGAGAGGATATTGATGGGGTCTGAGTCTTTGACTTCGGTGTTTTCAAGGTCCTTTTGGAACTTGCTATTGGGGAAGACGCCGTATTTGGCTACGTAAGCTCCGTGGCGGTAGGCTGATTGTGAGTACTCGGGCATGGCAACCATGTGCTGTTTCGGCAGTTGTCCACCGAGGGTTGCCACGTCGGCATCAACGCGTTTGCTCTGCTCGTCTGCAAAGGTAGGCAAGTCGTTCCAGTTTCGCTCCAGTGCGTCTGCAATATCGTATGTGGTCTGGGGATCACGCAGCTCCAATACTGGGTAGTTGTTGAAGGTCCAATCTTGCGTCTTTTTGTCTTCTCCCCAGAGCTTCTCGCCCTCGATACCAAAGACCTTCATGCCAATGCCGCGTGGGGCTGCCAGGTTGTCGGGCAGAATCTTGGGCGTTAGAGACGAGTACCGCATGATTACATCGTAGGTGCCAGGTTTTGCGAACATTCCTTGGGCTAGATGTTTAGGTAGGTTGTCGTGCACTGTGAACTTGCCCATAACGCACTGCTCATGTTATCAGTAACGTTCATCTCGAGAAGTCTCAAGAAAAACTTACACCCTGGGTCTTCAAATGCGTGCCCCTCAAACAATGCATATGCTCGTTGAAGTTCATCATCTGGAAACGGTTGAACTGAGCAGAAACCTCCTTAATCTTCTCTTGCTCATTTTCCGGAATGTTCTCAACACCTGGTGCATCCCATTTGATGTATTCACCAGTAGCCTTCTTGTCTTGTCCACCAGCTTTGACGGTGCCACTCGGTACTTTGCCGTTGTGGATGTTTTGAATTCGATGATACCCCATGGGGCATGTTTCAATCTTAGTTCCACTCATGCTGATGATTTGTTGGTAGTGTATGATCTCTTTGTTCCGCCGTGTGCTGCTACATGGCTGGCGGCCTTCTTAAAGTCACCAACACAGTCCTCGTGGTCACCCCGCAACTGCATCTAGCTTCCGCCTCGCCGACATCTGCTCTTCTTCATGCTGCATTCCGGACGGGAAAGTGCGAAAGCATGCGGGGTAGCGCGTCAATGATTCCAGTTCTTCGAGGTGTATCCGTGCGATGGATGGTCGGAAGCCGCTCCGGAAGACCCTCTCCCGCCTGCGTGGTCGATCTAGTCCGCCTCAACTGACCAATGATTGAAACTGAATTGAAGATCAGGTCTCGAACGCATCTTCTCAGCCCATGATTTGGAAGCGTCATGATCTGTCTCGAGCGATCCGAACTACTTCCTGCACGTCGCTTTCCGGGAACACTCCACACCAAAAGCGCAGACGCTTGCGAGTACGTGCGCTGAAGCGTCTGTTGCTATGCGTATCTTTACTTTTTTCGTATCTAGATACTATTCACCCTTCATCTTCTTCAAGCTGCTGCTTCATCGCAGCCAGACATCAGCCCACTGAATGAATCTTCTTACATGTCCGAACTCCACAGTTCCTCTTCCTCAGTTGTGTCCCAGCTTTATTGCGACACATTTCATACCCACCGGACATAAAATGCTCGTTCATATGTGCTAGCCATTCTTCTCTACCAAGTTTCTTCGATACGACTCCTTCTACAGCCCAACAAATAATACATTGGCGATACACCATGACTCTGCCTGGAGTCCTGTCGGTGGTATCAATAGGAAGATGCTGTGCATAGGAAAACACCCAAGTCATGCCTGCGCAACCGACGGCCCAAGTAGGAGGATATAGCGGTTTTGTCTTTCCTTTGGGTGGCCTGGGACCCCAAGGTAGCATGGAAAATCCGCACGGATCACATTTCCAATCGATTGAGATGCGAGAGGTTCCACTCTGCAGGGCAAGTGCACCAGCGCAATACTCCGGCCTATTGTTGTGTGCTATCGGGAGACTCTGGGGTAGCCTAACGATAGGGGCAGCGATACTGAATCGTTGATACTGTTGGGCCAGAGCGGAGATTGAGTTGAGTTTTGCTTGGGTGGAAGTGTTGAAGATCGCATCGTAATCGATGGTCTTTACTGGCGAAGAAGTAGATAACAACAGGTTCTGGAGTTTCTCGATCATGTCCTGTTGCATCTTTATCATGACGCTCGTGAGCTCAGTTCTGCAGATGTCTTTTTGCCATTGCATAGTCAGTAGAGCGATCCTGATGATTGCACTCTGGGTGTCTCACCGTCGCCTACAGCAAACCGCCGTCCAATTATGGAGAAGTCATCGTCGTATTCTTGTTGAATCTCCGGTGGCGCTAGTTCCACAGCCTTTTGTAGTCGCTGTATGCGTACAGATTTGTGAGAGCTCTCATCTTTCTTTTTCTTCTTCAGTTCTCTGAGGAACGATGCTGTTCCGCTGAAGGCACTGACGATGCCCACCACCAGAGCGACAACTTCGAGACCGGACATGATACAGTTGTACTTGACTCAGATGTTTACGGACACATGGGCGTACGTCGACGTGTGACTGATCAGGTTTGTAGAGGTCAAGTAAGCTCGATACGCCAGGCAGCCGCTTATCGCAACCAGCCCATCCCGCTTGGCCTCAGCTGGGCAAATACGTGCATGGCGTCTCATGCAGCCACAGCAACTCGCCTTGACCAATCATCGCATTGCGACCGGATCGAGAGATAATCGCTTCGAAAGCTGTAAGAAGACATAAAGTGGCTGATTGATGTCAACCTAGCCCGTATAGTCATGTCTAGGCAAGAGCGATTGCAAAACAAGTAGCGCAAGAACTCTCACCAGCTACCACATCCTCCTCCCCAGACCCCCAAATCCCTCCTGCCCAACCTTCCGCCCAGCCAACTCATTCGCAAACTCCAATTTCCTTTGCAGCCCCCACCCCCCACGCTCATTAACCGCGAAAAGCATCCCCGCAATAAAAGTATCCCCAGCCCCAATCGTATCCACAACCTTTGCCCCATCCTCCCCATCTGCCTGCCACGCCTCGACATCCGCCCAAACCTCCTCGTCCCCCTTTTGAACCGCCGTAGCACCTCCAGAACCCCATGTGCAACACAGTAGAGCCCCATCTCTCGTTTCATCGCGTCTGGCTTCGAGGAAGCTTCTCGCATCCTCATACCCATTCTTCACGGCCCACAATTTCGAGTAGAAGACTACATCTGCGTACTGCGCCACCTCAGCCATACCCGTCCGCTCAGGCTTCTCGCACTCGACGCTAATTTTGAAATGAGGGTATGTTTCGCGGAGGAAGCGGACACACTGCAGTGTGATCTCTGGGACGCGGCCTTCGAAATGGAACCACGCTTTCTTCCACGTATGTCCTTGTTCCGTACTGAATCTGCGGACTTGGTGGATAAATTCTTCGGCTTGCATCTCGGGGAGCTGGTTGATGCTGACGATTGTGCGTGAACGCTTCTCTTCGCTTTGGATGATGTAGCTTGACGCGGCTTCTTGATGCTGGTCGCGGAAGAGGCTCACGTCAGATATTTTTACACCAGGAAGAGATGTAGATATGAATTGAGAAGCCGCTGATTGCTCCTCAGGAAGTACAGCTAGTAGATGTAGACTCGTGGGACTGAGATGTGCTCCTTCAGCGTCGTGTCGTTGCAGCTGCGATAACACTTCTAGACTATTTGCAGTATTTCCTCCCCTTCTTCGCGTAAGAGCTTTCGCGCGTAGTTTCTCATCTTCTATGGGGAAATGCGGGACTCTGAACACTCGAGAGTTAGTAAGCTTCTAATTCTTAGGGTCACCTTATACAAGGGAAAAACTAAACACCTAAGAGCCTACGTTGCTATTAGGCTACTAACTTTGTAAGCTTTTATCTTAATGTAGGCTCTTAGGTGTTTAGGTTTTCTCTTAAATAGGGTAGGGTTGTTGCAGAGCGTTGGTACATACGTCAATATGGTGTCGATGTAGACGGCACCAACGCATACAATATGGTTCTCGGTACCTTCGGACATGTTTCAACGCGTGAAGCGGTATGCGCAAATGACCGTGGTGTTGGCGACAGGTGGAGAAGATTTAAATGTGATAAGTTTGATAATGTGGAGCTGGAGTGTTGGAGGTTACGTCAACCTTGTGCTTGGAAGTGTCGCGTGCCCTTCCGGCGCGTTGACGCGCCGTCACATGTCCGTCAAACGAAAAACACAACTGTGTTACCAGATGGTCGATTAGCCAAGACATTCGCTTTCAAGGGATCTGTGCCCAAACAATCAAGTGACATTCCAGAATGTTTCACACTACCGTCATCTTACCTTTGGCTATCCAGACCCTGCAGTCCCATAGCCTCCTTGGTAGCATCCGTTTTCTCGGCCTCACCCTTCTCCCTAAGTGCTACCTTCTCTACCTCATCGAAAGCCTTGAGTGCATCGCCATACTGTTCAAAGACACCCTTCCTGTAGCCATCACAGATCTTCTTGACAAAGCCCTCCTCATTCCACCGCGCCTCAAGGAAATCCTCAAATTTCTCCTGTGGAGACGAACGTTGCACGCCCCAGGCAGCTTTGTACGCGGCTCCAAGAGCGCAAGCATTTCCTCCAATCTCAAGCTTGTATACACCGTCAGAGCCACCAAGAACTTGACCGGCAAGTTCGGCGATGGCGGGGTTCACGGCACCACCGCCAACCATGTAAATTCTGCGGGGTTGCGCAGGGAGGGAGCCCTGGGGTTCGACAAGGGACTGAGAGCGCAATCTCAAGGACAGGAACTGGGATTCGAGAATTGCACGAGCGTCGGCTTGGGGAACGGGCCAGGATTTGTCCTCTGTCTTGCCTTGGGCACCTTCTGGTGCTATGGGCGAGAGCTGATTATCTTTGGAAAGGAATCGCCATGTTCCTGCCTTAACGTTTGGTACAATTTCTGGTCGGGGGAAGAAGAGACCTAGACGCATAGGGTCGGATGGTTGGGCTTGGCCAAGCGCAGGAGTTGTGAGGGCTGTCTCATTGAACTTGTCCCAGGACTTGTCGGATGAGCCTGAGGCTTTGTTGATGGCGTCGCGGATGTGCTCGCGTGCTAGACCACCATTCTTGTAGCAGAGCATGAACATGTAGAGGCCTGCTGTGGTGGGGTGGTTCATGAAATGGTATGCTGGGTCGGGCCTATACTGGGGTGTAGACATAAGGAATGTTGTTGAGGTCCCTAGCGAGACGATGGCGTCGGACGCGCGTAGAGGAAGGGCGAGGATGGTCGATGGATTGTCACCGGTGAACGCAATGACCTGAGCCGACGATGGGAACCCGTAGCGCTTGCTGAAGTATGGTGAGACGGTACCGAAGCTTGAGCCACCATCTTCCGGGACGCTTCCGAGCTTCTTCTTGAGGTCCTCGACACCGTCACTGCCCCCAGCTGCAAGCGCAAGAAGATCCTCATGCCAGCGACCATTCTTGATATCCCACAGGTTGGCTCCGCATACGTCTCCGATATCGATGGGGGCGACTTTGCCGAGAAAGACGGAAGCGAGGAACGAGGATACGAGAGAAATGCGAGCGGTCGCTTTGTAGGCTTCGGGGTATTTATCGTGGAAGCGAAGGATCTGAGGGCCACTGAAGCGCTTTGTGGTGTTAGCATGGACAAAGGCTTGGAGAGTGCTGGAGACTTACGTGATGGGCGCTGCTTCCAGTAGCTAGGGCCAGATTCCTCGGTTCTTGCAGTGTCGCATCAAAAGCTTCGCACTGCTTCTGTGTACTTGCGTCCTGCCAGTTTGGGCTGAAGGGGTGGCTGAAGGCACCCTTCCTCTCGCCCTTGGCACCGCCTTCCAGCTGCTCGAGCAGTGTCTTTCCAGCATCCATACTGCCAAGTAGTGTCTCGGCATCGTTGCTCCAGAACACGGTACCATGTTGCATACCCGCACCCGAGATACCCTGGATCTTGGAGAAGTCGGCACCCTGCTCCTTCAATCGCTGCAGGACAAGATCAATGGCTTCGAGCCACAGGGCGACGGGCGCGAAAACCTCGCCCTCAGCAGGGTTTGTGAGGACACCCTTCTCAATGCCATATTTGGAGAGATCGGCATCGAAATCGACTTTGGCTTCGTGGATAAGTTTGAGATCGGAACCGACGATGATACCTAGAGCACGGCAGCGTCAGTCCAAGCTGGAAGACCAGATGGTGGGGTAGCTCTAGCGGGGTATTCGCACCTTTGAGTTGCTGAGTGCTCAAATCGAAGCCCAAGAACTGATCAGCCATGGTCGAAGTGTGTCAGTGCGGTTTCGAGCTGTGAGGATAATGTTAGGATGTTATGTTGACGAGACATGGCTAGAATAAGCAGACCATATCTCGTAGTGTTAGAGGTCCCTGCCTCACATCCACGATACGGCTACGGCACACTTACGCAAGACCCACATTGACGGACGCGCTACATCACAGGCAATTTTGCCGGCGGTGCCTGCAGAAGCGCCAGTGTTTTGGCGCGGTATCATTGGATGGCGGATAAATTCGTGCCGAGACATCGTGAGTACAGCTGTGACTTTTTGGAGTTGCATCTCGGCCAAACGCCGATGCCATCTAGGGAATTTCGTTAGCGTGGGGAAGTACGAGTCTAGAGCGTGGGCCGGGGTTGAATTCAGGTGATGGATATTCAGAATATATACAAGTGTCCGATGTCTCGCATATGCCGCCGGGTAGTTGCATTGCCCAACTCCAGAACGCCCAGCTATGCTTGTCTATAGGTGTACACCAATCATTTCCTTCGCCTTGCGGTGCCATCGGTAGTTTCGTGATCGTGGTCGTGGTCGTGGTCATGTTCTGCCTCGGATTTTTGGCTCGCCGCCGCAGCAGAGTCGCCAGGGATGAACTCGTCGAGAAAGTCTGGTGCTTGCGCCGAGTTGGTAACAAAGCGCACGCGCACCTTCTTCACGCCGCGCACGTTGACACCAACGCGGTCCCGGATTGCATTCTCGACGTCGCGTGTCTGGTCAACAGTCCAGGTGCCAGAGACGCCAATCTCGATATCCATGAGGTAGTTCTGGCCAGCTTTGACACCCTGAATCGCTCGCACATTGACTGGCTCTGATGCGGTAGTGACATCCTTGACAGCGTCAGTCGCTGCTTTCCGCACGTTGTCTTTCATCTCCTGGTCTACGCCGACGTCTGCCAGTTCGAGTAGCGCTTGCTTGGTGTTTCCCCAGCCAGCTTGGACAACCATGAGCGAGATGACAAGCCCACCGATAGGGTCAAGCCACTTTGCATTGTTGAGGACGTTGGAGCCGGCGATGAGGAGGAGAGCGACGAAGGCAGTAAGGGAGTCGACGCGGTGGTGGTAGGCGTTGGAGGCGAGGACCGTCGATTTGCGCTCTTTAGCGATCTTGAGGGCTGGAGTGATTGTCAGCGGGCACTTGCTACGTTATTATGGGTGTCCTTACTCGCTCTGTAGAGCCATTCCTTGATGACAATTGAGCCAGCAGCAAGCCATATAGCATTGATGTTGGGGCCCAGGTCGTCGATGCCGTGGTGGTGGTGGTGTGGTATAAGCCCCCATTGCTCCGCTACCTCGGCGGCTTCGGGGAAGAATTGCTTGCAGAGGGCCAGCAGCGCGGTCCAGCCCATGAAGAAACCGCCTGCGAGCAATATGCCACTGACACCGAGCGAGCCCAGACTCTCCACCTTTCCATACCCGCTGGGAAAGCGGTCCGTAGGGGGCTTGAGGGACCAGCCGACTGTTGCCAGCGTCATGATGTCGCTCACGAGGTCGGTGAGGCTGTGGATGGCGTCGGCGATGAGTGCTGGCAGGCGTTAGTAGACGTTCGTATCAACGCGCCTGACCATCTCACCCTGACTATTGAAGACGTAGCCTCCGAAGCCCTTGCTGACAGCCATGCCCAGGTTGACGTAGAGGCCAATCTTGGTAATGCGCACGCCGGCGTCATTCTTGTTCTTGGACAAGAGGAAGGTGTTGTCGTGGTTATGGTGGTGATGACCGGCGTGGCCTCTTTTCTGCGTGGCGCCCGTCATGGTGGAAGGGGAAAAGAGTGGTTTGCGATGGACGGTCGTCGACCAGTTGCGGAGAGGCGCTGTATGCGACGGGATGGCGAGGTACTGGGCACCTTTGGTCGTCGTCTGCGTGCACAGGACGCGCAATTTGGGGCGGCAGGTAGGAGGGTTGTAGGCGTGACGTGATAGGACGTGTCGTCGCACCGAGGGTTGCGTAGAGGAGTCGTGGAGTGAGACGCGTGCACGCTGGCTAAACTGGACACGCAGGCCATGTCCATTGCTGCAGGCGGTGCGCAGTAACATGGGATGTGGTGGCAGCCGTTGCGCCTCTCAGTACTGCGGGATGCCTCAATGCCACTCGCTGCGAATACTTCCAAGACAATTTGGAGCCTCTTTCGCGGTTGCTATCGGCCCTCGAGCCTGGCCTCTCATGGCGCCTTTTGCGTCAACACACGGCAATTGTGGGGGCGCCACCATCCGTCCCACTCACGCAAGATGCACACTACCGCACTTCTAATAGCAGGACCAGGAGAACACAATGCCGGTGTATATTTCCAATCTGCAAGCAATCTCATGCTCTACCTGCCACAGGTTAAAAAAAAAGGGATAGTCCAATCAATTGCGATGACCTCTACTGCTACCGGCCAGGAACGTTGCCAAATTTAACAACCGCACACTATGTCATTGCAACCTTCATGCATCACTCCCGTGCCGTCGTCAATTTCCTGCAGGGACATGGGCCTGGAGATCCTCCGCCTTGCGCCTCGGGAGCCGCGCGTGTACGTACGAGTTGGGCCAAGCAATGCACACCTAAAGATAATCGTATCGTGATTACGTTGCCAGCGCGCTTGTTTCCTATTCTAGAGAGCTTCTACGCAGATTCATAGCCTTGGCTTCGCACTATCATCACCCACAGGGTCCGTCACGCGAGCCAGTACCCAGTTTACGACGTCGTCCCGGAACACATCTTTATCAGGACTAGGCTCGTCGTGTACTGACAAGGTTAGTGCCAATACCATGGACTGGGTCAGACATGTACTTACAGCGATGAAAGTGTCCGGCGTACGATTTGAACTCCTTGTCCTTGACTTGCAAGGCATCGAAGAGGCGTTTCGAGGCATGGTAGCTAGTGATGCCATCCTGCTCGCCGTGAGCAATCCAGATCCTCGTTACGCCACCCTCTCCAACATTGTCAGGTATGATGATCTTCCCACTGGACAAAGCATTGGTTCGATCGAGCAATCCCGCGAGCCCCTCGAGTGTGCCGGTATCGTGGCAGAGCTCGTCTTCATCGAACCGCTTGCAGACCTCCGGGTCTCGCGAGATGAGTTTTGGATCCAGTTTGTTGGTCAACTGACGCTTTGCCATGAGCTTTCCAGCGACCCTACCGAAGAAGACCGTGATGGGTGATGGCTTGGACTTGGGGTCAAAGTCGATAAAGGGCGACTCCAAGAGGAAGCCGCGAATGTGCTTGAGCACCTCCTCCGGACCCTGTGCGGCATAGCAGAGCGTCTCACCGCCACCCATGGAATGCCCCATCATGAAGAGCGGGACAGGGCTCGGGATCAATGTCTTGATGAAGGAGGTAATGTCTTCCAGCACCTGGGTAGTCGGGCCCGTGTCTCCTCGCTCGGCGTGTTTTGCTACAGACCGGCCCCATCCTCTGTGCCCTGTCAGTAGTGAATATTGGAAGCAGTGCACGTGCGCACCTCTGGTCGAACGTATAAACTTCAATGCCTCTAGACGCTAGATGGGGGAAGAAGTCGCCGTACGTGTTGACTTGACCTGTGTCAGAAGGGAGTTATTCATGTAGCTAGATGGCCTCACCGTGCTAGAGGCAACGTTAGTCATGCATTCAGTATTGTGTCCATGGGAGCCGTACGTCTGAGAATCCGTGGATGAACACAAGTCGGGCTTTGGCCGGACCGTCCGTCTGCTCATTGCGTTAATGTCGATCTTATTGCTATGGCTCCACCATACCTTGAATGTCTTCGTATATAGCTGCTTGCCATCAGCCAAGGCATGGGTGCCTTCCTCGACGGACATTGTGCCTGAATCAGGTAAGAGTTGGAGATATTGGAGGTGTCTGTCGGCTGAGCAATAGAGTCAGTGACGATATGTCGTGTGTTGGGCAGTGCACGTGCAGGTGAGTTCGTGTCAAAGGAGGATGCAGAGCAATTGCTGTCTTATGGTGTTCAGCTCTCCGGTGACAGCCGCGGCTCCCGCACGCGTCATAGCTTGCTTAGTACACCACGCACTCGCACATGTCAAACGCGACAGCTCAGCGTGCGACACGATGGCAGTCAGCCCATTCTCGGAGACTCATGGCCAATGCCACTTGGCTATATTTGGAGGCCCGAGATGATGCCGATGCCGTGGTGAGGGTGAAGTCAGCTAGCCTTAACGGCTGTCGTCCAAGCTCCCGCCCAGTGGATCATCCTGCATAACGCATTGGACCCCTCTACCTGGTGTCCCCACTTACATTTTCCTCGTGGTAAGATACTTTCTTCTTGCTATGAGCCTTCCTGCCCGTCGACTCTTGTCCCATCACTCATTTCAGCGACGACTCTCCTCGCAGAGAAGCATGCTGAGCAGCATGCCACAAGCTCGCTCAGCAAAAGCGATCCTAAGCCACCAAGAGCGCACCGCGACGGAACCGCGAGAGAACGACCTGCACACGGCCACCGTCGCCAAAGTCACGCCCGTCAACGACCGGATCAAGCGCTTTAAATTCGAAATCAAGGAAAAGGACGGCTTCAACGTATGACGATCTCCATCTCGCTCGCGACATGCGCTGATGGATAAGTCAGTTCCTCCCCGGCCAATGGCTTGATGTCTTTGTGCCCGATGTAGACAAGGCCGGTGGCTTCACCATTACCTCGTCGCCCTCCGAAGCCCTGCCGCGGTCGGATCCCGATTTTGTTCCCTACTTCGAGCTAGCTGTCCAGAAGAGCCCTAATAACCCGCCGGCAGCGTGGCTGTGGCAGCCGGCGGAGGAGATACTAGGCAAGGAGGTCACTGTGCGTGTAGGCGGAAGCTTCGTGTGGCCTCCCCCGTGTCTGGACATGAAAAAGATTAAGCGCGCCATCTTCATCGCTGGAGGTGTCGGAATTAAGTGCGTCCAGCTCTGCCGTGACCAAGTCGCACGCCTCGCCCGCTAACACCCCACAGCCCTATGATGTCAATGATGACCTACATAAACCAGAACTACCCGAACCTCGAAGTACGCTTCCTATACTCTACCAAAGTCCCTTCGCGCGAAACCGACCCGAGCGAAGTCCTCTTCCTGCAAGACGTGCTCGACCTGTTCCGCATACCCAGATTCAAGGTGACCAAAGACCGCCTTGAGCTATTCTTTACAGGCACGTGGGACGGGTCCGAGATGGGCACAAATGAAGGTGACTTGATACATCCACTCATGTCTCTGACGCTGCCGCAAATTGACTCGGCTACCGAAGTGCCAGTGTGTGCCTGGACGCATCGCATTGACGACATTGCCCTCTCTAGCGCAGTTGGCAACAGGAAGGAAGCCCAATCCACCGTCTTCTATGTCTGCGGGCCCCCAGACATGACCGACGACATGGTGAAGTTTATCAAGGAGCAGGATAATGTCGCTCCAGAGAGAGTGCTGTGCGAGAAGTGGTGGTAATGGAAAGGTTAAGGTAATTTACCATTGGATAGTTCAAGGCGATCAATACTAGGTTTTGCATTCGACAATGATCCCGTCGCAGCGGCAAGCGCTGTTGTATGTACGACGCTCACACCATTAACTCGAATTTACGCGCCCACAAAGACGGTAAATTCCAGACGGCTCGTGATAGTCGAGGGACTGCTCCACTAGACTAGCTCCACATTTCAAAACTCAGTCTGGGAACCATGGCCATCAACGTTATTCGCGCCACACGCCGTTTCCTGTCCGTGGGCACTGTACGGCACAGCAAGCGATCGCTTGCGTTGTGCAACCCCGCGATAAGGCCTTCCACTTCATCCGACCTCTTACCTCGAAGTTCTATATTGAATTACCCGATTCGTCGATATTAACCCACATTCCTCGGTACAAGAGCAGGGATGGCGCAAGGAACAAGCCGTCTAGCTCCCGCCTGCAGCGCCGACCTGCAAGTCTGATTCGCCGTCACACCTCACAAGCTGTGTGATCGCGCAGCATGCGCGTGCCACTCAGCGCCTGCGATGGCTCTTTCGCCCCTCAGCTCCCTCACTGGCGTCGGCTAAGATGGGGGCTTACATGGCTGTTAAGAGCGTGAAAGGCCCCGGAGAGCTGGATGCTGATGCTTTTCTTGTACGTCCGGACCTCGAGCACGAACAACGACTGTGTGCGACTATCGGAGGCTTTTGGTAGCATCTCCAGCTATCGACTTTCGGTTAACGACAATTGCGCAACAAGACTGGACGGCGCAGTTCAGCATTATCCCGCAATCGCGATTCGTCCGAGCGCAGCTGAAAGCGCAGCATCACGTATACGGCAACGCCCACCACCGCACATCACCGTCAAGCGTGACGGCTTCGAACGCCCGTGATGGGTTTTTTTATATCGCGAACATGGCGCCTGCCGAAAATCATCTACTTTCTCATGATTTTTGAACTGCCATTCACTGTGGCCAACCTTGCGCTCTTCGGTATTGCATCGCCGAACCTCTATCGCACCATTCTATGGAGAGTGGGAGGCGAGTTTGGCTTCAACTCGAAGCCAAGTACCGTTTTGTACGCGGCTGCAAACTACCGACCAGTAGATACACCTCTTGTATGGAGTAGCTTGTAAGTAGCATACCGAACCAACACTGCAGTCCATATCCTTGCTATCATCCCACTCGACTTTAAAACCTGAATAGTGTACTGACAATCACAGCAATACCCAATATCACCTCGTAATCGGCGTAGTATGCATGTTCTTCTGGCTCGTCAAAACAACCTTATGGCTCCTCAAGGTCTTCTTCCCAATCCTCTCGCTCCTCCTCCACATCGCACTCATGGCCCTATGGGCATACGGCATCCACATCCAAACCGCGCCCGACACCATTGACCCAGAGCACGTAAACAACGGCGCCCCCTGGTACCTCACCAAGAATTGCAACATCGTGAACGACAAGCACATCAAGAGTTACTGCATGCAAGCCAAGAGCAGTTTCGCCGTTAGCATTATCATGCTGTACGTCCCCTACCACCCGTACCCATCCAAGTAAAGCGCTAACTCTATCCCAACAGTACCATCTACGTCGTTTTCTTCGCCCTATCAGCCTACTCCCTCATTCCAACCACCGCCCAGAAACAAGCCCACGCCGCTCGCAGAGCCGAGAAGAAAGCCGAGAAAGAGAAGTGGGCCTCATCGCCCTACGACAACGAGATGACTGCCGACGAACAATGGCAGCACATGTGGGAACTCCAACAACTACCCCGTACACCCGGTACCATTGGCGGCATGAAGTCGCCCATGACACCGCGCACACAAGCATTCAACAACCTTGGCGGGGAGGAGGCTGCACACGGAGGAGGAGGTTACTACAGCAATGTGCCTGCGGGAGGGAACGGCTGGTATGGGCCGCCACAACACCAGCCAGGCTCTATAACCATCAGTCCGGTTATGGAGCAAGACGAATACTACTCGCCACATGAGGGCAAGGGCAAGACACCGGGTTGGGGCGGTAATGCGTACTAAGCGTTAACGCTTATCGACGTGCAATCATCTTCTTTTTGTCTGGGTTTGGCGTTTGAGCGTGGTTGTGTGTGTTTTTTTCGATGATACCAAATCTGGGAACTGGGCTTTTCACTCATTATGGGGTGTGAGAGGTGGAAACGGATAGTCTATCCATTTCAATATGTAACGTTACGTCTTCTGTGGCATTGGAATCAATGGCTGTGTTGAGTACTTTCGACGATCTCGTCTGTGTGTGATTAACGCCGCAACCCATTGGATGTCGGTACAAGGACCATACACCTATCTAACGATGGTGGGATGGCTGGAAAAAGCCTTGCATATGTTGCTAGTAGATGGCTTTTTGTAGGCTTGTATGTTCCTGCCGCATGAGGTAACACAAGGAAGGCAAGCGCGCAGGATACGACCCCGCTTCCTGCATGCACACCCATGGCCTCGATAACGAAGTGGTTTCTACTTCTTAGATAGCTCTAGGCAGCAGCTCCTGAGTCAAGACCATGTACCCGTCTTCTTTCAAATGCTTTACGACATAACCCGTATGGTTCGGGCCCTGCCAAGATGTTATGCACCAATTGTTCAGACATTGATCTTATTGCGATCTTGCAAGGCCATCACGAAGGCATACCGCTAAGGAAGGGACATGAAGTGTGGGTCACACGATGTTCTGACCCTACTACTATCTGGACATGGGATTCGCAGTCTGGCTGCGAGTTCTGTGAGTTTATTTCGGCGACAAAGATCAACTTATTACCGCGAAACGATCCGCTACAGCCACGCTATCTCCAACTTGACCGCGGAAAGAGCCTGATGAGGGCATCCATGAAGTCTGAGGCCGCAACAAGGCTATCGTCGCATGTCAATATATTCTATGACTTGGAAGACGGAAAGCCTGAGTATCAGGTTGCTAGTCATCCTGGCTTGGTAGTTCCGTTCGGCATATCCGCGGAGATCGAGACTCCAGTATTCCAACCGTCTCCGCTACGAGTAAATGAAGTTCCAACCTGGCTTGACTTCAGCGCTACGAGACAACACCTACAGAACTGTTTAACACATCACAGTTCCTGCAATCAACAGAAAGGAACATTCAGTAGCCGGCCAAGCCGGCTTAGGGTGATCGATTGTCATACACGGGCAATCGTAAGACCTTCTGGCAATATCCCGTATGCTGCGTTGAGTTATCGGTGGGGCAAAAGCAATAGCGAGTCTCTGGACCAGCAAACAGACATGCTTCCAGCAAGACTCCCTTCAACGGTAGAGGATGCTATTCGAGTAACCCAGAGTCTTGGTATTCGTTATCTTTGGATCGACGCATATTGTGTTCTTCAGAAGAACGAAGACGATTTCAAGCACCAGATTCGCCAAATGCACCTCATCTACCGCTCTGCTCAAATCACGATAATAGCAGCCGGAGATACGGATGCCAGTTCAGGACTGTTAGGCGTTTCGATACCACGGGAGGATGTGCAGACAGAAGGTCAATACAACGAGCTCAATCTGGTTACATTCTCTCCCTGGCCTTGGGCCTTGATATACTACACCGAAGGATGGTTCAGACGTGGCTGGACGCTTCAAGAAGGCTACTTTTCAAGGCGGAGGCTCATCTTCACTGAGAAACAGGTCCTATTCGACTGCGATGAAGGCGTCATTAGCGAGGACCTACAGCATTCTCAGATACGTTATCATTCCGAGTTAGAGAAGTGGCAGCCAAACGTAGACGGAGAGACGATCTACGATTTGATTGAGTCGTATACTGAGAGAGTTCTTACCTACGATGCTGACATCCTGAATGCATTCGATGGCATTTTGGGCGAGTTCGAGCAACAAGAACCACCTATCAGATCATACTGGGGTATACCTTTGCCTTTCGACACATCCGGATATCTAAATGGGCTTCTCATTGGGTTGTGTTGGCGCCATGATATCCAGGATGAGAAAGTCAATCGTCGTTTAGGCTTCCCAAGTTATTCTTGGGCAGGATGGCTGCACAATCCGGATGCAGTGTATCCTATACGAAAAACGCCGAACACAACAATAGTGGTTGCAAAAGACCTAGCAATACATCTCGAGAAGCTGGATGGGCTTCTGCAGTCTTTGGGAGACTTTGAGAAGGCCAGTCCGAATTCTTCCCAGCGGCACCACTATTCTCAGCGGATACATATCTCAGCACCATCGTTCAAGATCATGCTACGTAAAAGACCCGTTGTTGGAAGGCATCTTGGTCGCGTAGTACATGGCCACGATGCATCGGTGGTGCGAGGTGGACACGACGTCTGCTGGTCCGAAATGGCGCGACTCGACATCCCGTTCGAGTGCCTTGAATATTCGCATATCGGTCCTGAGGCAGCTGAGATCAGAACTTGCTACGCTATATATTTATTCCGCGCTTACGAAATGAAAGATCGGTACGATGAGCCCATGGACACAGTTTTCGCGTTCCTCCTAGTATCCAAAGTAGGGTGGGATTGGGAGCGAGTCGGTCTATGGTTACAACCATTCGAGGCTGAGGCAGGTGCTGAAGATCCTCCAGTGATCACTTACATGTTTGTACCATGGCTCTCAAGCTCTTTTTCTTACAAGACAAGGGATTTTTGGATTACATGAGCTGTAGATTGGTGCTCGAAGCAAACTACATCAAATGGCTGAGAATACTGGTCAATATCTCTTTGAGAAGATGTTGGAACGGACCAAGTATCTCCAAGCGTGATTTGAACATCGTACGGTTAGCTTGATCGATGGTTTCGTGTATAAGAGATTATCGCTCTCAGTCCACACTCATGGTTTGAAGGAAACCCAAGTGCGACTTCTATCTCACTCCGTGTCTACACAAGACGCCGATCTTCTAACTCAAGACTTGCGATGTGATGCATACCATACTCGCTCCCACACTCATTCCCATGCTCGTGCGAGGCCGCTATCCTACCACGATTCTCACTTCTCTCTATACAAAAGTCTGCAGAAAGCTCAATCGTAGACTCAGTACCGGGACAGGTAGTTGTTAATGTGCGGCTACATCCCCTCTTAGGAGCACTACCAAAGGTCGGGGCGGAGTTCGGATTGCCGTATTTACCGGGGCTAGCGGACGTTTTGTTTGATCGGAGAGTGGTGAATATACCGCCGCAGGAGCGCAGGGCGGGTCGAAGGAGAGGGAGGGACGCTAGACGGTGAATGTCAGCGACTTGGTTCGAGGAAAAGATTCATCGTATATGACTGACTTGCAAAGGATGCCAGGTTCACATCGCATACTGCCCATATCTGGTCGTCGATGCCGTCGTATGTGAGATCTGGATGGGGGTTTCTTCCAAGGGCAACAGTGTGAGCAATGGTACCGAGTGCTGAGCCGCAGACCCTTCGAATATGTTAGTAAGATGTTGATGTATTGGCTTTGTGCGACTTACAATAGGCCAGCCGCGAACATTGCCGCCACAGCAACCTTGCGTGCTGTCGAGATATGCAGTCTGGATATCTCATAGAGCGGACAGAGTAATATCGCGACCTCAAGAATGAAATGAGGAATGGCCGCAGCAAAGAGCGACATCATCGGCGGCAATGTGCACTTGCCTGGGATGTCTTTGTGCCAGAACTTCTGGATCGGCTGACATTGCATCGTGATGAGGACAACCTTGTGAGATCAGCGTACCGTACTCCGAAGTCGATATAGGTCGCTTACTTACCCTGACAATGATCCAGCATGCCGAGCAGACGAACAGGATTCTGATAGGCTGTCGGATGACGGAAAGACCAAATGTTCTCCAGTAGAAGCCTAGTATGACGAACTTTGATAGCCCGACGGAAAACGTGTAGAACCACATATCTACCCATAGTTCTAGGAAATAATGGTACACAATCTCGTCTTCTGCCATGTCGATGTCGTGAAGCGGTCTTCCGAGTCCCCATCGCATCTCTGGTCACCGTCAGCGCTTAGTTGTTAAGACCGCAGAATAGTACATACTGTATATGCTGATGAAAGTGAAAGCACTTCCAGTGGACTGTACAACTGTAAGTCTTGTATCGATACAAAGTCGAGTACACATACAAACGCAACTGCGGCCAAAACATCTTCCCATACCAACGGATGGCTGGTCTGACGGCGTGCAACCAGCCGAAAGACAAGCGCGACTGCAGCGGCAGTATAAGTTATAAGCGCCGCTACGTAGAGTTCGGGTTGTCGGTTGTGTCCCATGGCGGGCCACAAATTGTGTCGCACAAGGATAACACAGATTATCAACGATTGATATCTAGGTATTATGAGACAACGCTCGTTTGTACACTAGCGATGGACCTTGCTCTTTTGGGACTAGCGTGGTGTTATACTGAGAATGTTTGGTTTTAGAATGAATGAAACAAGACACCAGCCTGCGGCAAAGCTGATTCAGAGAATTAGATCGTATTAAGATGGCGAGATGAATGACGGGTCTTCGGACGTAGCGCTTCTCGCACCTCATAGCTGATGCTGGTAACAGTCGTGCAAGGCAGGACAGCCCTTACTCAAATCACAGCCGCAGCGGCCACCTGAGCGGTCGGTTGGTGACTGATAAGCGCAACGCACTCGATAGGATGCATCTACCCCAGAGATCGCGAAGCTGCACGATGTTATGGCTTGGACTGATGTGGATCTTGCCGGGTTCAGGGCACTTTGCAGGATCCCCAACTGCATATTCAGGTGATCTTAAGGTGAGCTATGATGCAAGGCTCGTGTTTGCCGGCAGGCGAACACTTGGGGTTCAGCCAGGATGTTTCGCAGCTCGAACATCTATTTGTTCAGCACGGTCTTACTACGTAGACCCTAGGGACTGATGTCTGAGCACTGGTGATCATTGTGGTCTCTGCTCCGCAGGCGGGCAGTTATGTTAATCGATAGACTTGAGATAGCATGCCGGCCGTGTTCGGTGGTATTGCCGCAACTTCTTCTGCATTCTGGTAGACTGTCGTGGGGTTCTCTGCGTGTAAATCATTATGCTGGTGCCAGTGGTGGTTGTGTGCGCATCACCACACAAAAGCCCTCTCCGTCGTGTATTCGTAAACGCGGAATGAGTGCGCAGTCCAAAAATGCCAGGTAGACGCTGTTGATGACTAGCCGATTCATATGTGGATCAACGGTCCTGCATCGAGATGCATCTACAGATTGGGATGATTGTTCCGTGTGGGAAGGATCCCATTCGCACGGATCTGTCCGCAGGGCGCCCTGGCGTAACAGCGGAAGAACTCAAGACCAGGTTCGTATCGGACGCTCGTAACGAGACCTCGGGCCGGTCGTGTATACCGGCTGTCATACATATGTTCCGATTGGCATGATGTCCTTGTGGCGTGATTTAAGCCCGTGGGATTCCCTAAGTCGAACCATGCAGCAGTGCGGTCGCTCTTCCTACGGAAGTTCAGATGCCATCCCAGGGTCCGCGCGGCTATCATGGCTTGATACTGAACCCTGGATGTGGAGATCTCCAGTCGTGACTCGTTGCTACTGGTGGACTAACGCCAGACGCAGGCTGAGGTGATTCATCTGCATGTGCGTGGAAGATATGCGCAAGATCATTCTGCTGCATTAAAATGCGTGCCCTTTCCAACCCTCGTCGAACCAGAGGCAGATGCGTCCATGGCCGCAGTAATTCGTATCCATTGCGTATATGCTGCTCCTGCTTGGTTTCTTCGATGAAAGCGAGAGCCGTATGGTTGTACGCTATGAGTAAGGTTGCGAAGCACGCAAATGTCCTAGATAAAGTTAGTTAGACATCAACATGTTTGAACGCAATGACCATACGGGTATAGTGTAAAGTGCGTTCCCATCTTTCTTCCCATGAGTTGCTCGTCCGCTACACTTAGAAGCAAGGCTGAGCTCTTTATGCAGTGTCGCGCATGCTCCCTTGTGACTCCAATCGTTTCGTTTTCCTGAGCGCTGGCCTCCCCTTCGCTGTTCTCGAGTATCCTGAGTACTGAAGGCCAGCCAAGCACTACGTGTAGAGCCATGTACTGAATCCTTAGGAAAGACTTCCTAGAGTCAAACAGCGGCGTCGAATCCAAGGGAAACCGAACGGCAGAAGGTAGATGATGGTACCATTCGCGCACTTGTTTACGTAGCTCGCCAACGACGACGGGTGCGAAGATGACCTGTCCTGTAACTGGAAGGGGCGGGGTAAGTGCACGTAGCAATATCGACTCTGCAGGGACACTTACAGTAACCGACAACTTCAAGAGTCTGTGTCAGGAACTTTCTAAGGCTGATCTGCGCCAGAAAGAAGTAGAAGCCTGAATCCTCTTCTTCGAACTGGGGAAGCGGCACCAATTCATGGAAGTGGCGCAGTCCGATGGGATGCATTTTACATGTCGCCTCAAGTCTAAGCACATATTTACATTAGTAAAGTCTTTCGCTATCGAGGCTAACGATGCAAGCCGCGCTTGGACAACTTACTCGTGCAGCACGGTGGAGCAAGCCCAAAACGCTCGGTTGAATGCTTCTTGGTCCGATGGGCTGTAGCGTTGCATAGTTCTGGAGCTCAAGATATGCATGCAGTCTCTCGCAGCCTGCGTAATGGAGTTCCATGTCTGCAGTGGTCTGATAGCGAACTTGAAGTACGAAGCTTGCAGTATCCGACACTGAAGGCTAGCTAGTCCGATGCGAAGCGATAGGTGCTCGAGGAGGCGACATCCACGTGCAAAGTACTCCAACCCTGGAGTGAGATTGTTCGTATTCTCATTCCTATCTTCAGAGATTGCACCAAGGGCCAGTATCAGAAATGCTAGGCATGTTGACGCACTAGGATGCTCAAAGCTACTTGAGTCTGCCTGTTCAAGCGCACTGACGCAGGTTCGTTGATCGAAAATAGGTGTCCACCGAAGGAAGTTTTCCACGAAAGATTGTTGGAGTCGTCGGCACGTTCGTCGAGATAGATCCACTGGACGTGAGATGACTGCGTCACACTGATCCGCCAGTTGTTCCCCGGCTAAGATCTCATCATCGTAAAAGTCAGCTGTGTAGTCCCAGCTCTCCACATGGATATAAGAAGGTGCGTGGAAAGTAGTGAGGCTAGGTCTCGGAGTTTTTCCTTCAGTGCTTGTTTGTCGATAAGCAAAGTCATACGATACCGGTGTACCAACTGATGGGACAGACATGGTGGAGTTGTTGATCGATTCAATTGCCATTCGATTAGCGCTCGAGTGTCGTGATCTGGACTCTGGGGGAGGGTGCATATCGCTATGAGTAGACGTGTTGGGTGAGAGTGCTGCAGAACCAGGCGCATATTGATGCGTAGATTCCAGCTTAGCTTCGACCTGCGCCAGTCGTCTTTCAATGCTTGACCAGGCCTCTGATGGGGGGCCGACTGATTTTGTGCGGTCGCCAACTGTTGGCTTTCGGTAGGTGCACTCAATTCCGAGCTCAGTACAGAAACCACAAGACTGTAAATGTTAACGAGGGCATATATGAATACAATTTTGTCTGACTAACCGGCTTCTGGGCGTCACAGCGTGTCTTCCGAAATCTACAAACGTTGCACTACAAGCTATGAGTAATTAATGTCGGAAGTCAAGGGTAGTGTTGCCCACAGCTATCGCTATACGTTTTCTGGGGTAGTTCTCGACGACTGTCAGGCTGCCCGCTGGACTGGTAGAAGGGCGGCCCTCATCGAATGGAAGTCGTGATTGGTCAGATCCGGGAGATTCGCCATGCTTCCGTTTTTCGGCCATGAGAGCAGTCGATGATCGGAGATTGATGTAGGCAGCGAGGAAACTGCATGGTGCGGGTGGGTCGCGCTTTCATAGGAACTGGTCGTCTGGAGTGGATGATTCGGCTGGCGGGTGCCGTCCCGTGTGGAGACCCCGCATCCTTGTGTCGCCTGCTGGTTTGAGCAAGTAACCTGCATGGGACTTATCCTACGCAGATGACAGGTCAAGGTCGAGACATGTGCTAGGTGGTTATTACACGATAATGTACATGGTCGCCTTGTACAAGAAAAAACCTGAACAGGCCTAGAGCCTACATCGACGTTAGGTCACCTACTTTGCATGTTTCTATGTTGATGTAGGCTGCAGACCTGCTCAGTTTATTCCTAGGTTGACGTGTGGTTGTAATCTCATACGGCAGCCCGTGCCATGGTTTCTTTCGCCTCCTTCTCTTTCTTGCGCGCCTCACGTTCCGCCTTGCGCATAGCTCGCAGATCCGGTGGCTTCTCAATGCTGAATCTAGCTCTTAGCTCGTCGATATCCGTCTCCAGTTCTTCCTCCCAGTAGATGTTGATTACATCGTCACTTTGTGCGCCGTTACGTGTAGCCCACGGCCCATAGACGTCCCAGAAACGTCGCCATTCAGCCTTCTTCAGGGTAAAAGCGCTAAACACAGCCAAGCCAGTCATAGGAAGGCCGGTATTGGCGAATTCGAATGCCTTGAGAGCGACCTCGCCTTCACGGAAGACGGGTAGTCCAACCAAAGCATGATAGAAGTCGTGGCATTCGCGATATCGCTGCATGACATATGCACACTCCTCGTCGTCTATGTACTGTACTGGCGCTCGTGTGTCTGGTGAGACGCCCTCGCGGTCAAGCCATGCCGCGTATGCATAGCCCAATGTGTTCGGAGGGAGTTTGCGGAGGCGTGGAATGTCGAGCGAGGTAGACGTTAAGCGTGGTCGGTCGCGTAGTATTCGTCGGCCCGTTGGATTTAGAAGCATGCGATCACGGAGCTTGTAGATGAAGTAGGGTTGCGCGGTAGCTTCGCCAAAGGAGGCAATGAGGTCTGGCTTGTGTAAGCAGCGAACCATGAAATTGAGACTCTGGATCGTGTCTACCTCCTCTTCGCGGGTCCAGGAAACTTCCAAGACCCGAGCCGATTGCCAGCCCTAATCTTTCCGTACGCGTCAATGGTATGTGACCC